GACCTCCATGACTAAGCCAATGCAGCGCTCAGCAATCCCATTCTGCTGTGGAGAGGCCGGCAGTGTAAACGTCTGGCGGATGCCGTGCTCCGCACAGTAGGATGCCAAGAGGTCGGAGGTAAACTCACCACCCCTGTCAGAGTGCAGACGCAAGACTAGAAAGTCCGACTGGAACCGGTCGCGGAGCTGGAGACGAGCAGTGCGGATCCAAGGGATCAAAACATCAGGGACCTCACCCCTGGTGCGCAAGGGAAAGACCGTGGTGTAGCGCGTGTAGTCGTCGACGACCAGCAGGAAGTACCGCTCGTGGCCCTGTCCACTGACGCAGGCTGGGCCCCACACGTCTAGGTGGAGAGTCTGCAGAGGAGCCTCTGTGGGAGGGAACGAGGAGGAGTGAGGAGTGGCGCGCTGCCGCCCCTCGACACAGGGAAGACAGGGAGGAGCAGGCGAGGGAGGGAGAGGAGGGAGAACCCTGGGAAGACCAGAGACAAGGTACCAGGAGTGCATGCCACGAAGGCGCTGCACTGAAGGGTGACCAAGGCGGTGGTGCCAGAGGACAGTCTGGTGCGACAGGGTGCGACACGAGCACAAGCCCCATGCCCGACATACTGCACAAGTAGCGCAGTACTGTAGTACTGTAAGTACCACTCACGCAACTGCTCCGAGGAGAGGTCGCGTCCAGGTGTAGCACCCTCAGGCCCAGCACCGCAAGGCTCAGCACCCCTAGTCACCGCACCCCCAGGCTCAGCACCCCCAGGCTCAGTACCCCCAGTGTCTGCACCCCAAGGCTCAGCACCCCCAGAGTCCGCACCCCCAGGCTCAGCACCCCCAGCAGGACGAGAGTCGACAGCAACCTCAACAGGCTCGAACGGGTCTACCTGAGACACACCTGAGGGAGCGGCACCCTGAGGGGGGAGGGGGTCTACGACAGCAGCACCTGGCGCGAGGAAGAGAGGCGGGGGTGGGAGCGGGGCAGTGCGGTAGGGAAAGAGGCGGTAGTAGGGGACAGACTCGTCAAAAGTGACGTCCTGAGAGGGCAAGACCCGGCGCGAGGTGGCGTGGTAAAACTGCCAACCAGGCGCGTCCGGAACAAAGCCGAGGAAGACGCAGGGAACAGCACGAGAGGAGAGCGTGTCCACAGACGAATCGCGGACAAAAGCTCGAGATCCCCAGACCCGGAAACGTGACGCATCGCCAACCTCCCCCGTCCACAGCAGTGTGGGCGAGGTCTCCGGCAAGGAGACACGGGGCCAGAGGTTGAGCTGATGCGCAGCGTACCGGACCGCAAACCGCCACAGAAAGTGGGGGGCAGCCACATGGATCAAGGAGGTACGAGCGACCTCCATGACCAGGCCAATGCGGCGCTCCGCAACCCCATTCTGCTGTGGAGAGGCCGGAAGCATGAACGACTGCTTAATGCCGTGCTCAGCACAGTAGGCTGCCAAGAGGTCGGAGGAGAACTCACCACCTTTGTCAGAGTGCAAGCGCAGGATAGGAAAGTCCGAGCGGAAACGCTCGCTGAGCTGGAGACGAGCTTAGCGGATCCAAGGGATCAAAACATCAGGGACCTCACCCTTGGCTCGCAAGGGGAAGACCGTGGTGTAGCGCGAGTAGTCGTCAACAACGATCAGGAAGTACCTCTCCTAGCCCTGACCACGGACGCGGGCTGGGCCCCACACGTCCATGTGGAGCGTCTGCAAAGGAGCAGTCGTCGGGGGAAACGAGGAGGAGTGAGGAGCGGCGCGCTGCCGCCCCTCGACACAGGGAAGACAGGGAGGAGCAGGCGAGGGTGGGAGGGGAGGGAGGACTCTGGGAAGACCAGAGACAAGGTACTGGGAGTGCATGGCACGAAGGCGCTGCACAGACGGGTGGCCCAGTCGGTGGTGCTAGAGGACAGTCTCGTGCGCTAGAGAGCGACACGAGCAGGGGGCGGACAGCTGACCTGACGCGGACGCAGACGCAGACGCAGCGACCTGAGGGGGGGCAGTAGTCAGTGTGTACAGATCCGGCCCCGGCTGCCGGGTGAAGGTAGCCAAGTGGCAGCCTGTACGGGCACACGTGCAGTGTGTGACACGCTCGTAGGCAGGGGTGAACTGGTGAACACCCGCGTCCTGTAGTGCACAACCTGCCACCAAGTTTGTAGAGAACGAGGGGAGGTGGGGACCTGACAGTGTGCCCGACGGGACCGCAGGACAGGGAAGGACGGTGGAGGAGGTTGCAAGGACCGGACCCCCAGAGGGGTCAGCGAGGGAGACAGCAACTGGCCGAGCAAGGGGCTCAAGGGCAGTGCGGTCACGAAAGAAACAGCGAGAGGCACCTGAATCCAGTGTGAAGGTGTGCAGTGCTGCAGTCAACACAGTACTAGGGCGGGCAGACGTACACGCACCTAGAGCAGCAGCCTCACCAGCACCTGGGGTAGCGGACACGCGAGTACCTGGAGCGGCAGACGCACTAGTCCTAATGCCCGGGTCGGGCGGGACACTCAGGTACTCAGCACCCTCTCCACTAGTAGACATCACATACATGGCAGTGAGAATAGCATCAAAGTCTAGAGCATAAATATCAATCCCCTTCTTCAGGAGATCAACCCAGCGGGGCAGCTCAGTGGCCTGAGGGAACTGAACACGCCAAGCGTCGTTCAGACGAGCGAAGCAACGCTGTGTGGCGTGCGGTCCCCCACACGGCTGGCCAGTGCGGTCACCAGTGCGAATGACGTACGTGCAGCTAAGGCCACCCCCCCCCCCCCCCCGTGCTGAGAGTACCACTCACGGACCTCCTGGGGCGACGGGGTGTGCTGCTGGCCCTGGCCACCGCCAGCGCCTCCACGACCACCACCGCCGCTACCACCTCCTCGACCACCCCAACCCCGGCCGTTGCCTCGTCCACCGCCACCCCCACCACCTCCTCCGCCCCGGCCACCTCCCCCGTCGCTGCCGCCACCCCCCCCACTGCTGCCACCTCCCCCACCCGCGCCACCCCCCCCGCCACCACCACCTCCCCCACCACCGCCACCCCCGCTGTCACCACCACCGCCCTTGCCCCCCTTGCCCTTGCCGCTGCGGCGCCCACTCGAAGCAGACGCAGTCCCGACCTTCTCACCACCAAGGAGGTCGACAGCAGCAGCAGAGGCGACAGAGGGAAGAAGGGGGGAGGGAGAACACCCCTCAAAGAACGGGGTACGGGGGTCACCGCGAGAGGCACCTACAGCGACTATGCTAGCCTCAGCTGCAAGCAGTTCCTTCTCGAGGAGGGCAATGGTGAGCTCGGTGGGGCAGCGAGCTAGGAAGTGGTCCCTGACTGAGCGCAGAGTGTTAGGGAGGCACGTGACTAGGTGGTAGAGAGTGAGCCAGAGCGGGGGTGGGTTCTTGGCAAGGAACTCATCAGGCATAGCGGCGCAGAAGCGAGCCTCACTAGTGCGGAGGTGGGTAATGAGATCAGCGACAGTGTGGAAGGAAGCTAGGTCGGGGAACAGGTAGGGAAGAGAGAGACGGCCTAGAGCGGCACAGGCCGGCAAGGAGTAGCGGGCAACAACAGCAGTGTACAGTGCATGTGCAGTCTTATGCTGCCCAAAGTGCTCGCGCTCATCTATCGGCAGAGAGTTGCGAATAGCGAAGCGAGTATGGGCGTCACGAGTCTGCCACTGTGAGCGGGCAGTGCTGTCAGCAGTAGCAGCAGGAGCAGTAGCGTGGCCTAAGGCATGATCGTACAGCGAGATGTCTTCCTTGGCAGTGAGTTGTAGGAAGAGGTGTAGGTCATCAAGCCAGGTGTCGAACTTCACTGGGCGGCCCTCAGTATCGAAGGCTAGGACAGGAGGGCTAGCCATGGTAGCAGCAGTAGGAAAAGCAATAGAAGCAGTAGGGTAGGTAGGGCGGCGCGGCTCGGTACAGGTAGGGCGGCGCGGCTCGGTATAGGTAGGGCGGCGCGGCTCGGGTCGGGCGGCGCGGCTCGGTTCGGGCGGCTCGGGCCGGGCGGCGCGGCTCGGTTCGGGCAGCTCGGTTCGGGCGGCGCGGCTCGGTTCGGGCGGCTCGGGTCGGTTAGGGCTGGCGGCTCGGGTCGGCTCGGTTCGGGCTGCTCGGTCTGGGTGGGGCCGTTCGGGGCCGCTAAGGGCGAGCGCGGGGAGCGGGTGGGGCCGTGAGGGATGAGCGCGGGGCCGACGTGGGTGCTAAGGGCGAGCGCGGGGCCTATCGGGGCCGTGAGGGACGAGCGCGGGGCCGATCGGGGCCGTAAGGGACGAGCGCGGGGCCGACGTGGGCCTCTAAGGGCGAGCGCGGGGCCTATCGGGGCCGTGAGGGACGAGCGCGGGGCCGATCGGGGCCGGTAAGGACGAGCGCAGGGCCGACGCGGGCCTCTAGGGGTAAGCGCGGGGCGGATTCGGGGCCTCTAAAAGCGAGCGCGGGGCCGACCGAGGTCTCTAGGTGCGAGAGCGCGGGGCCGACGGGGCCTCTAGGGGCGTGAAAGCCGAGGCGCCCTAGGGCGCAGGTAGGTAGGTAGGTAGTGGTGGGCCCTAAAAAATCGGTCCTAGGAAGGACCTGCTCTATACCATGTTGAACAAGAATGAATGAACTAAGAGTGAAATGAGAACAAGTATGAAAACCTAGGAATGTGTACCCCCTATAGGCTAACCCACTGTAGCCTAAACAACTACAACAACATATATAATGTTTGACAAAAACATCCTCAAAGAAATTGCAACAGGAGCTCCCTCCCTTCATCATACAAGCGAGCTCGGTTCAAGAAAAAACAAATACTGAAACTGGCGTAAGACATTGCCTTGCATGCCATCATGACGCAAAACATTTATAACTTACTCATTTTATTCACATGATTAAGGCAAAGCGGGGCACATTGAGGAGTTGTATTGTATCCCTCCCCCACTTGTCCCCTTTCTGCTGCTTCAGCCCATGGGGCAGAGCCGGCACTTCCTCTCCCTTCACTCACCACACCACCACTCCTCCCTTCTCTCTTCATCCTTCACCATCCCCCTCCAGTCCATCCATCTTTCACCTTAACCAGTCTTCAATCTCATCTTTCACCACCCTCCCTCCTCTCCACCCGTCTACCCCTCCTCTCCCTCCATCAAACCCTCCTCTCCCTCCATCTTCCGCCAACCCCACCCCCTCCCCATCATGCACCACAACCCCTCTTCCTCTCCCTCCATCCTCCACCATCCTCCCTCCCTCCTCATCCCTCTCCTCAATCCCTCTCCTTAAACCACAAGAACACAAACAGCTACAGCAACTCAGGCGTTGCTTCAAAATCCGCGTGCGTCTTACCTGAAGCTCCAGGTGCTGCCTCTTACGCTTCAGGTGCTCCTCCTGCTGCCTCAGGTGCTCTTTCTGTTGCTTCAGGTGTTCTTCCACCTGTTTCAGGTGGGTTTCTTCCTCCTTCAGGAGCTCCTCCTCCTGCCTCAGGAGCTTCTCCTCCTGCCTCCTGCGTTTCCTCAGCTTCCACTGGCACCCTCTCCTCCCCACATTACAGTGCACCTTTGTGCCCAGGTATCTCTTCTGCTGCCTCAGGTGATTCTCCAGGTGGTTTTCCCTGCAACCACCTCCCTCCCCCTCGGCACAATCTCCTTCAACACACATTCCCTTTCTCACCGCCCCTCCCATTCGAAGCAACCCCCTTCCACAATCCCAATCCTCACGTGCTGTCGCACGCTCATGGCTTGTCCAGGGTTCTTGAATGCATCGACTTGACTCCAAACAAACCTTGTTTGTCGCATTTTCCTCTTCAGCATGCCGCTTCCTCTTCCATCTTTCCTGCACGCATCTCTGCACCTCTTGCTTACTCCATCTTCCTCCCTCTTCCTCCTCACCTATTTTTCCTTCCTCTTCCCTCTCCCTTCCTCGCTTTTCCTTTTCCCTCTCCCCTTCTTCCTTCTCCCTTTCCCATTCACCTTCCTCTTCCCTCTCTCCTCCTCCCTTTTCCACTGCCCTCTCCCCTCCCCCACTTCCCTCTCCCTTACCCCTCTCTTCCTCTGCTTCTCCTCCTCCCTCTTCCTGTCCCCTCCAATAATCCCCGCTTCCCCCACAAATCCCTTCTGCTCCATCTTCCACCAACTGCCAACTTTGCCCCACGTATCCCTTCTTCTCGTCTCCCTCCTCTGCTGCATCCTCCTCTCCCTCCTCCGCTCCCTCCTCTGACCCCTCCTCCTCTCCCTCCTCCGCTCCCTCCTCTGCTCCTTTCTCTGCTCCCTCCTCTGATCCCTCCTCTGCTCCCTCCAATGTTCTCTCCTCTGTCCCCTCCTCTGCTCCCTCCTCTGCCCCCTCCTCTGCTCCCTCCTCGTCTCCCTCCTCTGCCCCCTCCTCTTCTCCCTCCTCTTCTCCCTCCTCTGCTCCCTCCTCTGCTCTCTCCTCTGCTCCCTCCTCTTCTCTCTCCTCTTCTCCCTCCTCTGCTTCCTCCTCTGCTCCCTCCTCTGCTTTCATCTCTGCTCCCTCCTCTGCTCCCTCCTCTGCCCCCTCCTTTTCTCCCTCCTCTGCTCCCTCCTCTGCTCCCTCCTCTGCTCCCACCTCTGCTCCCACCTCTGCTCCCTCCTCTGCTCCCTCCTCTTCTCTCTCCTCTTCTCCCTCCTCTGCTTCCTCCTCTGCTCCCTCCTCTGCTTTCATCTCTGCTCCCTCCTCTGCTCCCTCCTCTGCCCCCTCATCTTCTCCCTCCTCTTCTCCTTCCTCTGCTCCCTCCTCTGCCCCCTCCTCTGCTCCCTCCTCTGCTTCCTCCTCTGCTCCCACCTCTGCTCCCTCTACTGCTCTCTCCTCTTCTCCCTCCTCTGCTTCCTCCTCTGCTCCCTCCTCTGCTCTCTCCTCTTCTCCCTCCTCTGCTTCCTCCTCTGCTCCCTCCCCTGCTCCCTCCTCTGCTCCTTCCTCTGCTCCCTCCTCTGCTCCTTCCTCTGCTCCCTCCTCTGCTCCTTCCTCTGCTCCCTCCTCTGCTCCTTCCTCTGCTCCCTCCTCCACTCCCTCTTCTGCCCCCTCCTCTGCTCCCTCCTCTGCTCCCACCTCTGCTCCCTCTACTGCTCTCTCCTCTTCTCCCTCCTCTTCTGCCTCCTCTGCTCCCTCCTCCACTCCCTCTTCTGCTCCCACCTGTGATCCCAGCTGTGCCCCCTCCTCTGCCCCTTTCTCTTCACCCTCCTCTGCTCCCTCCTCTTCTCCCTCCTCTTCTCCCTCCTCTTCACCCTCCTTTCCTCCCTCCTCTTCTCCATCAACCCTCCCTCCTCCGAAATCGTTGCCCGTCTCATAAGTCTGCACCACTGATCTTCCTCTGCTACCCTCATTTTCAGGAACGGATTCAGCTGCTGCTTCCTGTGCCGCCCTCCTTCCTCCACCGTCACTGCACTCAACTTGCCTCTGCCTCATGGCCTCTCCCACGCTGCCCTCCCAGTGAAGCAGCACCGCTGCTGCCCTTCCCATGTTGCCCTCATCTCCTGAAAGGCATTGCTCTCCTCCTTCCTCTGCCCCCCTACCTCCTCCAACCGCACTGCACTCCCCTTGAAGCTGCACCGCTGCCCTTCCCGTGCTGCCTTCCTGCTGCTGCCCTTCCCATGTTGCCCTCATTCCCTCCTCTTCCCTCTCCTCCCCTCTCCTTCCATCTTCTCCACTAATAAAAGTTGCTTCCTTCTCCTCTCCATGCCCCCTTCCTCCCCCCTTTCCTCCACCCTCCTTTCCTCCTCCACCCTCCTTTCCTCCTCCACCCTCCTTTCCTCCTCCACCCTCCTTTCCTCCTCCACCCTCCTTTCCTCCTCCACCCTACTTTCCTCCTCCACCCTCCTTTCCTCCTCCACCCTCCTTTCCTCCTCCACCCTCCTTTCCTCCTCCACCCTCCTTTCCTCCTCCACCCTCATTTCCTCCTCCACCCTCCTTTCCTCCTCCACCCTCCTTTCCTCCTCCACCCTCCTTTCCTCCTCCACCCTCCTTTCCTCCTCCACCCTCCTTTCCTCCTCCACCCTTGTTTCCACCTCCACCCTTCTTTCCTCCTCCACCCTTCCTTCCTCCTCCACCCTTCTTTCCTCCTCCACCCTTCTTTCCTCCTCCGCCCTTCTTTCCCTTCTTTCCTCCTCCTCCCTTCTTTCCTCCTCCTCCCTTCTTTCCTCCTCCACCCTCCTTTCCTCCTCCGCCCTTCTTTCCTCCTCCGCCCTTCTTTCCTCCTCCGCCCTTCTTTCCTCCTCCTCCCTTCTTTCCTCCTCCGCCCTTCTTTCCCCCTCCGCCCTTCTTTCCTCCTCCGCCCTTCTTTCCTCCTCCGCCCTTCTTTCCTCCTCCGCCCTTCTTTCGTCCTCCGCCCTTCTTTCCTCCTCCTCCCTTCTTACCTCCTCCGCCCTTCTTTCCTCCTCCGCCCTTCTTTCCTCCTCCGCCCTTCTTTCCTCCTCCGCCCTTCTTTCCTCCTCCGCCCTTCTTTCCTCCTCCGCCCTTCTTTCCTCCTCCGCCCTTCTTTCCTCCTCCGCCCTTCTTTCCTCCTCCGCCCTTCTTTCCTCCTCCGCCCTTCTTTCCTCCTCCGCCCTTCTTTCCTCCTCCGCCCTTCTTTCCTCCTCCGCCCTTCTTTCCTCCTCCGCCCTTCTTTCCTCCTCCTCCCTTCTTACCTCCTCCGCCCTTCTTTCCTCCTCCGCCCTTCTTCCCTCCTCCGCCCTTCTTTCCTCCTCCGCCCTTCTTTCCTCCTCCGCCCTTCTTTCCTCCTCCGCCCTTCTTCCCTCCTCCACCCTTCTTTCCTCCTCCGCCCTTCTTTCCTCCTCCGCCCTTCTTTCCTCCTCCGCCCTTCTTTCCTCCTCCGCCCTTCTTTCCTCCTCCGCCCTTCTTTCGTCCTCCGCCCTTCTTTCGTCCTCCGTCCTTCTTTCCTCCTCCACCCTTCTTTCCTCCTCCGCCCTTCTTTCCTCCTCCGCCCTTCTTTCCTCCTCCGCCCTTCTTTCCTCCTCCGCCCTTCTTTCCTCCTCCGCCCTTCTTTCCTCCTCCGCCCTTCTTTCCTCCTCCGCCCTTCTTTCCTCCTCCGCCCTTCTTTCCTCCTCCGCCCTTCTTTCCTCCTCCGCCCTTCTTTCCTCCTCCGCCCTTCTTTCCTCCTCCGCCCTTCTTTCCTCCTCCGCCCTTCTTTCCTCCTCCACCCTTCTTTCCTCCTCCGCCCTTCTTTCCTCCTCCGCCCTTCTTTCCTCCTCCTCCCTTCTTTCCTCCTCCGCCCTTCTTTCCTCCTCCGCCCTTCTTTCCTCCTCCGCCCTTCTTTCCTCCTCCGCCCTTCTTTCCTCCTCCGCCCTTCTTTCCTCCTCCGCCCTTCTTTCCTCCTCCGCCCTTCTTACCTCCTCCGCCCTTCTTTCCTCCTCCGCCCTTCTTTCCTCCTCCTCCCTTCTTTCCTCCTCCGCCCTTCTTTCCTCCTCCGCCCTTCTTTCCTCCTCCGCCCTTCTTTCCTCCTCCGCCCTTCTTTCGTCCTCCGCCCTTCTTTCCTCCTCCTCCCTTCTTACCTCCTCCGCCCTTCTTTCCTCCTCCGCCCTTCTTTCCTCCTCCGCCCTTCTTTCCTCCTCCGCCCTTCTTTCCTCCTCCGCCCTTCTTTCCTCCTCCGCCCTTCTTTCCTCCTCCGCCCTTCTTTCCTCCTCCGCCCTTCTTTCCTCCTCCGCCCTTCTTTCCTCCTCCGCCCTTCTTTCCTCCTCCGCCCTTCTTTCCTCCTCCGCCCTTCTTTCCTCCTCCGCCCTTCTTTCCTCCTCCTCCCTTCTTACCTCCTCCGCCCTTCTTTCCTCCTCCGCCCTTCTTTCCTCCTCCGCCCTTCTTTCCTCCTCCGCCCTTCTTTCCTCCTCCGCCCTTCTTTCCTCCTCCGCCCTTCTTTCCTCCTCCGCCCTTCTTTCCTCCTCCTCCCTTCTTACCTCCTCCACCCTTCTTTCCTCCTCCGCCCTTCTTTCCTCCTCCTCCTCCCTTCTTTCCTCCTCCGCCCTTCTTTCCTCCTCCGCCCTTCTTCCCTCCTCCGCCCTTCTTTCCTCCTCCACCCTTCTTTCCTCCTCTGCCCTTCTTTCCTCCTCCGCCCTTCTTTCCTCCTCCGCCCTTCTTTCCTCCTCCGCCCTTCTTCCCTCCTCCACCCTTCTTTCCTCCTCCTCCTCCCTTCTTTCCTCCTCCGCCCTTCTTTCCTCCTCCGCCCTTCTTCCCTCCTCCGCCCTTCTTTCCTCCTCCACCCTTCTTTCCTCCTCTGCCCTTCTTTCCTCCTCCGCCCTCCTTTCCTCCTCCGCCCTTCTTTCCTCCTCCGCCTTTCTTTCCTCCTCCGCCCTTCTTTCCTCCTCCGCCCTTCTTTCCTCCTCCTCCCTTCTTTCCTCCTCCGCCCTTCTTTCCTCCTCCACCCTTCTTTCCTCCTCCGCCCTTCTTTCCTCCTCTGCCCTTCTTTCCTCCTCCTCCCTTCTTTCCTCCTCCGCCCTTCTTTCCTCCTCCGCCCTTCTTCCCTCCTCCGCCCTTCTTTCCTCCTCCGCCCTTCTTTCCTCCTCCGCCCTTCTTCCCTCCTCCGCCCTTCTTTCCTCCTCCGCCCTTCTTTCCTCCTCCGCCCTTCTTTCCTCCTCCGCCCTTCTTTCCTCCTCCACCCTTCTTTCCTCCTCCACCCTTCTTTCCTCCCCCATCCTTTCCTCCTCGTCCCTCTTCTCCTCGCTCCTCTCTCCTCCTCCCCTCTCTTCCCCCCTCCTTTCCTCCTCCCCCATGCTTTCCTCCTCGTCCCGGTTCTCTTCCCTCCTTCCCTCTTCTTCCCTCTCCCAACCGCTCCTTCGCCCTTCGCCCCTCTCCCCCTCCGTCCCTACTTCCTCATACAGGTCCTCCCCTTCACTTCCCTCCTCATCCCTCTCCTCCCCCCTTTGTCTCTCTTTCCCACTCACAGAATCACCCTCCTTCTCGCCTCTATGCCTCCCTACCTCTCCCCCATGCGCTCTCTTCCCCTTCCTGCCCGCATGCGCGCTCTTTACTCGCACCCCACTCCCTCTCCCTCTGCCATGCTTCCACCTTGCATGCCTTCGCATGTCCTCTTGACGCTTAAAGGTTAGAGGGCAGGGGCGATGAGTGCAGGGAATCTGGTTTTTTCCAAGGAGAGAGATGGGGGGAGGGTGGGGGGGGAGAGGGGATGTGGGAGAGGGGAGGGAAGAGAACAGGGAGAGGGAATACAAGATGCGTCAATAAAGCCACAAACCCTGCGTCCTTGCATGCGGCATGCTGCATGGTGCTATTGTGTGTGGCATGCTGCATGGTGCTATTGTGTGTGGCATGCTGCATGGTACTATTGTGTGTGGCATGCTGCATGGTGCTATTGTGTGTGGCATGCTGCATGGTGCTATTGTGTGTGGCATGCTGCATGGTGCTATTGTGTGTGGCATGCTGCATGGTGGTATTGTGTGTGGCATGCTGCATGGTGCTATTGTGTGTGGCATGCTGCATGATGCTATTGTGTGGGGCATGCTGCATGGTGTACCAAGGATTATTGTGATGAGTTTGGGACAAGTCGAGGAGGGAGAGGAGGGGGGAGGGAAAGAGTGGAACGAGGGAAGAGGGGAGTGATGAAAAGGGGGATAAAAGTTGAGGGGCTGCGACTTTCACCATGAGAGCAAGCAAGGGGAGCTTACTTGAGGGGCATTGGGGTCATGCACTAGAAGGTGCCTCGGTAACTGATACTTAAGGGGCAATAAAGGGGAGAGGGCGAGGGGAGCTTACCCGAGGAGCACTGGAGTCATGCACTAGAAGGTGCCTCGTTAGGCTGAAATTTGTGGTGAATGCCTTGCTGCAACCCACATGCGGGCACAGAAAAGGTTTTTCCTGCAGCAGAACAGGCAAAGAGGCAGGCGGTAAGAGGGGAAGTTGACTTAATGCCTTGACTTGACTACATAGCATGGCTTGTGGGTGTTCGCATGGAAACACCCAAACCACTTCTGCTGCAGAAGGGGCAAAGAGGCAAGCGGTGAGGGGCGAACCTGGCTTCCAGCCTTCTGGAATCACGGCAGGGACCGAGGGGAAGAGTGGAAAGACGAGCGGTAAGGGTGGAGATGGCACCAGTGCCCGTGAGGTATGTGCGAGGTATGTGCGAGGTATGTGCAAGGTATGTGCAAGGTATGTGCAAGGTATGTGCGAGGTATGTGCAAGGTATGTGCAAGGTATGTGCAAGGTATGTGCAAGGTATGTGCAATGTATGTGCAAGGTATGTGCGAGGTATGTGCAAGGTATGTGCAAGGTATGTGCAAGGTATGTGCGAGGTATGTGCAAGGTATGTGCAAGGTATGTGCAAGGTATGTGCAAGGTATGTGCGAGGTATGTGCAAGGTATGTGCAAGGTATGTGCAAGGTATGTGCAAGGTATGTGCAAGGTATGTGCAAGGTATGTGCAAGGTATGTGCAAGGTATGTGCGAGGTATGTGCAAGGTATGTGCAAGGTATGTGCAAGGTATGTGCAAGGTATGTGCAAGGTATGTGCAAGGTATGTGCAAGGTATGTGCAAGGTATGTGCAAGGTATGTGCAAGGTATGTGCAAGGTATGTGCAAGGTATGTGCAAGGTATGTGCAAGGTATGTGCAAGGTATGTGAGTGAAAGAGACCGTGAGTGAGTCTGTGAGCCTGTGAGTGGGTGAATGCATGAATGAGTGAGGTAGAGTAGAGAGTGGGTGAGTGCGTGAGTGAGCGAGCAGGTGAGTGGGGGAGAGTGAGTGAGTGAGCGAGTGAGTGAGGAAAACGCACCTGGGTTGAACGGCATAGCGCCTGAACCTGCAAAAAATGGGTACCCAAGTGTGCCTTTAAAGTTGTCCGTCGACCAAAAGCCTGCCCACATTCTCCGCACAGAAAACGCTCCTCCTGCCCACCCGTGCCCCTCTCCTCCTCCCTCTTCCTCTTCTTCTCCTTCCCCTTCGCCGCCCCTCCCCCCTCCCCCCTCTCCTCCTCAACCATTCCCCCCCCCTCTTCTCTCCCTTTCCCTCCCTCCCTTCGCAAACCTTCTATCTCCTTCGCACTATCAGTGTGTAACTCGTTAATATCCCGCCACCTATTGTCCCCTATTGGAACTTCCACCACATCATCATCCTCTCCTTCCTCACTCTCCGCGGCATTCCGCTGCGCCAGGCGAGGCGGAAGCCGCCGGGCGTAGCACCGAGGAGGCGGCGGGCCGTTCCGTGGATTCGTGCCGATGCCCGTTACATTCTGAGGCGCCTCAATAGCGGCTGCGAGGCCCATCGCACTATCCTTATCCTCCTCCTCCTCCTCCTCCTCCTCCTCCTCCTCCTCCTCCTCCTCCTCCTCCTCCTCCTCCTCCTCCTCCTCCTCCTCCTCCTCCTCCTCCTCCTCCTCCTCCTCATCCTGTCTCGCTCCACACTCCCCTCCACACTCCCCACCACACTCCCCTCCGCACTCCCTCACACACTCCTCTACCCTCTGCCACACACTCCCCCTCACACAATCTCCGACCCACTCCACCTCAACCACCTCTTCATCCTCATCTCCCTCCACCCCTCCCACATCAGCCTCTCCCCCCTCCCCCACCTCTTCCCTCCCAGCATGTGACCTGCCAGCCCACCCCATTCCTCCCTCTAGCCCGCAAAACCCTTTCCCACCATCCCCCATGCGACCATCCCCAACCCCACCCATCACTCCTCTCTCCGTCCCACCACCCCATAACCCCCCTGATTCCTCCGCACCCCTTCCCTTTTCCCTCTCCCCCTGCCCAGATCCCCCCGCTTCCCTCTGCTCATATATGCCCGCTGCTCCCCCAACTCGCGGAACCCCTTCCCCCCGCGCGCCTTCACAGGCAGCCTCCGCGCCATTCCCCCGCGCAGGAACAAGCGGAACGATCGGAACGAACGGAACGGGCGGAACGAGCGGAACAGACGCAACTTCCGCGCCATTCCGCTGCGCCAGACAAGGAGGAAGCCGCCGGCGGTGGCACCATAGAGGCGGCGCGCCGTTCCGCGGATTCGCAATTCCTAATATTACGCCGATGCCCGTAGCAAGGCCCATGACATCATCCCGCGAGTCCATCTTGATTGTGCCGCCCTGTCTCTCTCTCACACCCTACTAGCCGTGATTTTCTTTTCTGGTGACTTTGTGAGTCAACTACCTGCTGTCACACAGTCAACCCGGATATCCCCCTCCCCCTAACACTCTAGCGGAAAAGTATTCGCACACTGACGGGAAAGAAACCGGACCGTCGACGCCTTCCGGTTGAGAGATACCGTGCAAGGCGACGCGGCGCGATAAATTAGCGCACGCAGTGAAGCTTGTATCGTGCCCTCGTGTGAACAACATAAGGAGTTTCTTGAGCGTGCGGTGCAATTGGGGCTGAATAATTACTGCTGCGACATTGGCTGCCCCCGAAGAAAATAGAGCTGGTGCTAATGAACATGTGAAATGTTTCTGTATAGCCTAGTACAGTATCTTTCTAAGAGGGGAGGGAGCCGAGGTAAAGTACTGTACATCGCATGCTCTGCTGGCTTGGATACGGAACGTTCAATATTCTTTTCGGATGTGTTGCTGGCACATGCAGAGCAAGAACTCCAAGTGCTCATTTGTATTGCTTTGTCATGCTAGGCCACATGTAGCAGGGTGCTTCTCCCGCTTGTCCCGTTTCAGCTGCTTCAGCCCATGTGGTGGAGCTGGCACGAGGCGCACAGCTTTACTCTCTCAAGACCACGTTGTCTTGTGAACCTATGCTAGTCAACCCAGAAACCATCACTTGGCTATGCCAGGGTGGGGCGTGTGGCGGGGGTGTTTCTCCCGCTTGTCCCCTTTCAGCTGCTTCAAGCCATGGGGAAGAGCAGGCATGAGAGCAGCCAGGCATTCTGACACCGCATTAGGGTTGCCAGGCAGGTTGAGGATCTGAGGGGTTCAGATGGATGGTGGGTGGTGGGTGGGGCCAGGAGAAGAGGTTAAGCTTGTGGCTGCACCAACTTGCGGGTTGCCCATGTCACCATACCATGCATGATGCACCGATGCACCATGCATGTTATGCATGTCATGCACCCATGCATCCATGAACGCATGCTGTCATTCTATCTTACCAGAGTGGAGCCTCGGATGCCTGCAGCCATGCACAATTGCATGCTGCATCCATCCAACCACCCATGTCACCATGCATCATGCCCCCATGCCCCCATGCACCCATACCCCCATGGCCCCATGCTGTCATGCTATCTCACCAGAGTGGAGCCTCTAATGCCAGCAGCCATGCGCGAGAGCATGGCAAAGGGCGTGATCTGCATGGGAGAAACGAGAGAAGAAAAGCAGTCGATAGTACAAACAAGGGTGCGTGAGAGAAGGAAAAAAATGACACAGGGAACAAATTTGTCACCTTATATGTTGTCGAGCCTGAACATCCCACCCTCCCCTACCTTTTTTCCCTGCCCTTCCTCTCTTAAGAAAAGAGAAAGAGAAACGAAAGATATAAAAAACCCTACCCTGAGGCTCTCCTGCAGCATGGCATGGGTGAGGCCCGGTGCAGAGCGGTGGAAGAGCGGCGCACAGGCTTCAGGAGTGACATCCCGGGGAGAGAACCCCGTGCCCCCTGTCGTTATAATCACATCCACTGCTGCCACACCCGCTTCCTCACTAGTTGACACAGCAATTCCTCCCCCATCTGCCCACGCCTTAACCTGCGCTGCTATCTTGTCTGGGTCGTCTGGAACAACAGCCGTCGCCACCACTGCTGCTGCTGGCAGCAGTGACTGCACTGCCTGCACTGCCCTGGGGCCACTGGGTGGCGAGAGGGGGTACAGTGTGAAAGGCATGGGGGACACGGGCATGGAGTTGGAAGGCGGGAATTAGAGCAAGCGCCCATGGAAACACAGCAAGGGAAGAGGAGAAAGTCATGCTGTACTCGGCACTACCAAGGGGGACATGGGACTGAACATTATGCTGCAGGGTATTTTTGAGAATTCTCAAAAACACCATGCTCTACTCGGCGCTACCAAGGGGGACATGGGACTGAACATTTGCAAGAGGGAAACCTCAATTCTACCAGACCTGCCACCACCGCGGGACCACTTTCTTGACTCACCTGGCATCTGCTGCTAGGCCTGCCGCCACCGTGTCACTGACAGTCAGAATCGCCACTCGCACACCCGCACCCACAGTGGAGGCAGCAGCACCAGCAGTGGAAGGAGAGGCAACAGCAGCAGCAACAGCAGGGGCGGAAGCAGCACCAGCGCTTTGCTTATGCCCATTCCCATGCCCTTTCCCATGCCCATGACTGCACCCACACCCATACTTCTCCCCCTCCTCTCCCTCCCCTCCCTTGCCCACAGCCTCTCCTCCTTCCGTCCTCCCCACTGCCACCGCAGGGACCGCCAGGCACGCAGCAGCATCAGGCAGCAGCAGCGCGGAGACAAGAGAGCCTGCAGGGAGGGAGCCCCGCGCCTGGGGCAGCTCAAGCAGGCAGTGCGCTGAGCGCATGGAGAGGAGGCGACTGCTTATCTGCCTGCCTGTGCTGTCTGCTACGAAACCAGACACAGCGGTGGAGGAAGGAGGAGCAGGAGTAGCAGAAGCAGTAGTGGCAGTAGCAGTAGCAGTGGTGGGAGCAGCAACAGAGGAGGCAAGGGCAGCAGGGACGTTTGGCTCCCAGCGGAGGGACGCCCGGTGGTACTCGGGGCGGTCAGGGTCCAAGCGGAGAGCAGAGGAGATGTGGGCCTGCACCCTGTTGGGTGGATGGGGGAAAGGGAGGAATAAAAGGGGTATGCAGTCCGGTGCAATGCAATGAGCGGTATAACTGCAATGCGTTCATTGCAAGCACGTAGGGGAGGGATGCTCGGTGGTACTCAGGACGCTCAGGGTCCAAGCGGAGAGCAGAGGAGATGTGGGCCTGCACCCTGGGGGATGGGGGACGATGGGAGGACAGGAAGAGGTATGCAATGCGGTGCGTTGTGCTACTCACTCGCCTCCACTCTTCTCTTCTCCCTAGCTTTCGCGCTGGCATTGTCTCCTTTTCTTCCAGTAACACTTCTTGTGCAACTCACTTGCGTCACTCCAATCATCCACTCTAACCACCCCTTCCCCCTTCCGCTTCCCCTGCTCACCTGTGCAGCAGGGGATGAAGCCAACCCTCATCTGCCAAATTGCAGGCAGCACAAACAGGTTGAAGGACTTTTGAAGCAATTTAAAAGTCGTTTCTCTCTCCTCGCCCTCTTTCCCTCCTCACCTGTGCAGTAGGGGATGGCGCCAACCCCCCATCTGCCGGATAGCGGGCAGCACAAACAGGTTGAAGCACACCATGCAGCTGACCGGATTCCCGGGCAGCCCAAAAACTATCGTTCGGTGCGGCTGGGCGGCGCCATCCGTCTTATCTGAGGGGGCTTCGATGGTTGCAAAAGTGAGCGGTTTTCCTGGCTTCATGTGTACCTGAGGATAGAACGGAAAGGGAAGGAATGAAAGGAGAGAGGAAAGGGAGGGGGGAATGAGGAGGGAACGGCAAATGGGTAGGGAAGGAGGGAGAGGAGAAAGGATAACAAGGGAGGGACGAGATGGAGGAGGGGTGTAAGAAGCACCCACTCACCCGCCCAAAGTGCACGGTACCAAGCCTTTCCAGCAGCGGCTTAACAAAGTCCCTGTCGCCCATGGACACCCCTCCAGACGTCACCACCACATCCGCCTTCTCTGCCAACGCCCTCTCAAACGCTGCTGCCACGGCCCTCACTGCCCCCCTGCCAGCCCTCAAACCGTCACTCACCCAGCAAAACAGCACCCACTCACCCGACCAAAGTGAACAGTCCCCAGCCGCTCAAGTAATGGCTTGACAAAGTCCCTATCGCCCATGGACACTCCTCCAGACGCCACCACCACATCCGCTCTCGCTGCTAGTGCCCTCTCAAACGCTGCTGCCACGGCCTCCTCTGTATCCGCTGCTATTCCCAGATCCTGAGGGGCCGGACAGCTTGCTGCTGATTGTGCTGCTGATGGTTCTGCTTCTTCTGATGCTGCTGGTGGTGCCGAGGCTGCTCCCAGGTGTTGGCGCACAGCAGCCAACAGCATGGAGCGATTGGCGTCCCTTATCTGCACACCAAGAGAGAGGGGAAACGGGACATTCGAAGGATGTACTGAGGCAACTCATGGGAATTCATTCAAAGAACAGAGTGTGCAAAACCAGGGAGGGAAAATAAAAAGACACATGACGGTACACTGAGTGCTGCGATCCCGGCAAGGCACGAGGGGGAGGGGAAGTAGAAGATGACAATGAGAGGAGGTGGTGGGGTGGTGTAGTGTGGGGACGGTATGTATGATATGAATGAAAGCTACGTGGAGTCGATGAGATATGCTGATGCTGTTATTAGTAAACAGGTGGGCTGCGGAGGTCTGACGTCCATCAACGTGGAGTCTATGAGATATGCTGATCCTTGAGACGTCTCAAAAATCAGCTACGTGGAGTCTATGAGATATGCTGATCCGGTTCCCACGTGTGCCATGCTGCTGTGCGGGGCGACTCACCATGCCGCTGTGCGGGGCGACTCACCATGCCGCTGTGCGGGGCGACTCACCATGCTGCTGTGCGGGGCGACTCACCATGCTGCTGTGCGGGGCGACTCGCCATGCTGCTGTGCGGGGCGACTCACCATGCTGCTGTGCGGGGCGACTCACCATGCTGCTGTGCGGGGCGACTCACCATGCTGCTGTGCGGGGCGACTCACCATGCTGCTGTGCAGGGCGACTCACCATGCCGCTGTGCGGGGCGACTCACCATGCCGCTGTGCAGGGCGACTCACCATGCCGCTGTGCGGGGCGACTCACCATGCTGCTGTGCGGGGCGACTCACCATGCTGCTGTGCGGGGCGACTCACCATGCTGCTGTGCAGGGCGACTCACCATGCCGCGAGGGAGAGTGGCACTGCCATTCTGTGCGTGGTCTATTAGCTCATCTCCTGTGGAGAGGACTGCCACCAGCGGCTGCCAGTGCACCTGAGGGAGGGTAGAGAGGGGATTAAAGGGCGGGCGAAAAGGGAGAGAGGGAGGGAGAGTGGCACTGCCATTCTGTGAGGGGTCTACTACTAGCGTTAGGTAGGCAAACCATTCGCCTGCACCTATTACGCAAGTCCTCATTCGAAACACGCCTCCAGCGCTTTGCGAGATAAGCAAGTGATGCCAAGATGAGCATGCAGGGAAAGCAAGGCAGGGCACTCACATGCACGTGTGCTGCCCCCACCATTGCCAGCAGCCCTATCTCCGCTGGCCCAACGCGCTCGCCTGCCTGCAGCACCACTGTGCCAGCAGCAAGATCCGAGCCCTGAAAAAAGGTTGGATGAGAGGGGGAATTGGATATACGCAGTGTATGCTCGCATTCGTTTGGCCGTGTGCATGCATGCAAGGGTGCAGCAGAGAGAACCCTAGGCAGGAATGTCAATTGGCGAGGAAGAAGTTTCGTATACTTCCAACTTCCAGATTCCAATACCGAGTGAGCAATTCCAACGCACGCACCACAGGGCGGATGTCTTGCCCCACGGTAGCGCCCTTCACTATAGTCACACGCCTCTGACCACTGGAGGAGTCAACAGGAAGCGTGTCCTCCACTTGAATCACCGCGTCCGCACCCTGGGGAACCGGGCCTGAGGGGGGAAGAGAGAGTGGGCGAAAGCGCTCAAAAAGGGGCAGATTAGCCATCACGTGGCTGTTGGATTGGCGATGCAGAATACATACCTCATGGAAAATACATCCATTATGGAAAGTGCGTACCTCCCGTGGTGATGTAAGCGACGGTGCCAGGTGTCACCACCACATTGGCTGCATCATCCCCCGCACGCGCCTCAGCAATGATGGGGAACTCGCCTGGCCCGTCCGCTGCCACCACAGCGTAGCCATCCTGACAGCAAGAAAGGAGAATTGTCAAGAAAGACAACGCACAGAGGTCACAAAGAAGAAGATGCATTCAGATTCAAACCAAATCCATCTGGACCGTCTGATGCCACCACAACGTAGCCATCCTGACGTCACGAAGAAGAGCCGACGAACGAGATGCATTTTGAATGGACTCAAGCTTCAGATTGCACCGAGTTCCACCTCAGCATCGCCAGCATCACGTTAAAAAAGGAAGATGTAGAAGGAGTTGCACTTCGCGTCGACACAAGGTGTTCAACAAACCAATATTCTGAAGAGTTGTGTTTGAAGGACTTGTAACGAAAGGCATCGAAGTGACCACGAGACCTATTGTAATAGACTTTATTATGAGAATTCATGATCGATCTGATTTTCGTAGAAGAGCTCTAATCAAGAAGGAAACAGCAGCGCAATGCAGTGACGCCGAGATTGAGCATGGGATGAAAGAATAAATCTCAATTGCCTCATCTCGCCTTGATTGAAGCTGGAAACGGCGGCATCGGCTCGGGAGCAATGACATCTTTCGCAAGTACGCATCCTAACGATTCGTTCAACGGAATTGTAACCGCTGGAAGAGGTTTCGCGTGCTCGAGAACAAGCTTCTGAGCCTCGTCGACTGACACCATTGGATACGCGGAACTAGGAGCGCCTTCTACGGCGGGAATTCCGCATGAATGGTGCGCGTCGTCACCATGAGGAGCCATGCTGCTGAGTCAATATGGCTTCGGCAATACTGGGGACTGAGGGGTTAGGCGGCTTTATTACAGCAGACATCAATAACTCTACCATAGATAACTGAAGCCTTCATCTCCAATTCTTGGAATGTATCTTGTGGTGCTGCTCGGTGCTGCCTGGTGCTGTCTGGTAGCGAGGGTGATTGTTTGCACCAAGAAGGTGACTTTCGATTGGCTGTTGGAGTATCACGTGGAAAATCGAGGGTGCGAGGCAGCCGAATGTCGTCAGAGTTTCGCTCGTTGGAATCACATTCTGTCAGAAAAGTGTTCTCTAACGAAGCATCATACAACATCACCCCCTTGTATGCCACAGTAGCACCCGCCCGCACCTGACAAACCAGCAAACCCGACCACAGTAGCACTCGCTCCGATTATCCACGCGAGCGGATCATCGGTCCGCGCGCATGGCGCAAAGTGGCGGCTGGAGCTAGACAGGCTCCGCGGGGCACACAACAAGAAGAGCCACCTTGGAGATCTGCGCGCGAATTCGGCCGGAACAAGGAAAACACTGCGGATCGAGTGCGTTTCAACCGTCGGATTTAGATCTGGGAATCCCCAAGCCAATGCACAGACCAACTACTGTAGAAGTTCTCCAGGAACAGCAAATTCACCACCTTGGTGGTATCGCACTCAACCACGGTCGTCATGTACACACCTTCTAGAAAACTAATGAACCGTGAGGAACACCTTCTTAACTTCCCACTGATCCCATCATCATCAGCAGCTTTCACCTGGATCATCCAGATCCATAGCCTGAATCTACAGCCTAAGTTCATTCCCTTCTCGTACTTTCCCTCGCTTATCCTCGCGAGGCTGCTTATTAGTGCTGCGCTGCGTCTCCGATTGCCGTAAATTGATGAAGGCTCCACCTTGTATGCGATACATTTTTTAGTCTCCTCTCCCTTGGTCCTGAATCCGTCGCCGCGCGATGGCGAGGCGATTTGATTACCATCACCAGCAGCAGCACCAGCAGGCCGGCCGGCGGACTCTGGCGGCATTCTGTTTCGCCTTCGTCCTTTTCCTGCTCGTCGCCGCTTACCTCTTCAGTGGCTTCAAGCCGGGACCGATTCCCACGTCGTCCGTGGTACGATCGCTCTATTCTTGAAAAGGATTCGTCATTTTCGTGATTGCTTGATCTCCACTGAAAGAATCACTCGGCCTTGTCGCCATTGTGTGAACCCGTTCTGATAATAGCAATCTGATACTCAAAGGTGTTTCTTGATCAAGATTCCTTAAGACACCTTTTGGTCCTGAATCCGATCAAACACGTGTCGATCAGGACTCCACTCTAAGGCGTACCTTAAGGACCAGGAGTTAACTCGACACGTGTCGATCTTTTGTCCGACGTGACACGTGTCGATCATTTCCAGCTTGGTATTTACGAATCCAGAATCCAGCTTCCCTTGGTACAGTTTTTTCTCCCATATCCGGACACGAATCGTCTCACAATGCTCTTTTCTGTCCGCGGTTCTGCTACGCATCAGTCCAAAAATCTACTACGTTCTTATGTGCTGTGCTTTTCGTTCAGGATGAGGATCAGGATCGGGCAGGAGACGGCCTTGGAGGTCCCAACACGTCAGATGCGCTGGGAGATGAGCCGCAGGAGCACGAGATCCGGGATTCTAGCAAGCTCAGCCTGAATTTGCCTCCAGTGAAGGGCGCCGGGTACGTTTTTGCTTCTCCCGATCTGTTATGAGTTCACTTGAACTACACGTAGGTGAGCCAATGGAGCACGAGATCCGGGATGCTAGCAAGCTCAGCCTGAATTTGCCTCCAGTGAAGGGCGCCGGGTACGTTTTTGCTTCTTCCGATCTGTTATGAGTTCACTTGAACTGCACGTAGGTGAGCCGATGGAGCACGAGATCCGGGATGCTAGCAAGCTCAGCCTGAATCTACCTCCAGTGAAGGGCGCCGGGTACCCTGTTTCTTCTCCGAATTCATTCAGCTGTCGGCTATGCTTTCTTGTTCCTGGGTCCCCTTACCCGCCGGTCACGCTTTCTGTCCTCCGGACCCCCCTTCTTTTGTCCTGATCCGTTTGCCTCGTTTCCCATAATTTTTCATTTAGGACAAGTGGAGCGTGGTACCCTGATACTTTATATCACAATCCAAGCTGTCGAAGGATGCTCCATGTGTCGACCTCGCTGTACGCGTTTTGAATTCCTTCCTTGGCTGTTTCGTTACAGGGAGCCGGCAGACTCCGACATGGAACCCCCCCGGAGGGCCGTGGACGAGGAGGAAGGCGGCGAGTCAGCCGCACAAGAGGGCCTGCGGGGGGCGGGCGGGGGGGATGCGCGCGCGAAGTCGGAAAGAGAGAGAGACGCGCAGGACGCTGCTGCGCAGGAGGGGGATTCGGACGGCGGAGATGGTCAGGAGGAAGGCTTGTTGCACAGCCGCACTGGTGCCGATGCGAAGGCGGCGGCGACGGCGGCTGACGCGGCTGCTGCTGCTGATGCGGATGGTGACGGCGTTGTGACTGGAGGCTCGGAAGGGGTGGGCGCGGCGAAGGAAGGGGAGGAGGAAGAGACGGGCGAGAAGGGTGAGGAAGAGAAGGGTGGTGCGGAGAAAGAGAAAGAAGGAGAGGAGGACGAGAGCGGGGTGGAAGGAAAGGGTTCTGATGCGGAGAAGGATGAGGAGAGTGCGGTTGGGGAGGCGAAGGGAGGGAGAGTTGCAGGTGGTAAGAAGACGAAGAAAAAGGATGAAGCGGAGGAGGGGGAAGAGGAAGAGGGGAGCGGAGCAAAAGGTTCTGAGACTAAGGAAGGGGAAGAGGATGGCGAGGAGGAAGAGGGTAGTGTGAAGAAGAAGGGGGTGAAGGGTAGAGGGAAGGATGGAGAGGAGGGAGAGGAGGAGGAGGATGAGAGTAAGCCGAAGAAGGGTAAGGGGAAGGAGGGGGCGGAGGAGGGAGGTAGTGAGGAGGAGGAAGAAGAGAGCGCCGGAGGCAAGAAGAAGAAGGGCGGCAAAGGTGAGGAGGACGCGGAAGAGGAGGAAGAGGCCTCCCCGGTTGCGAAGAAGGCGAAAAGGGCGAAAACGAGCGAAGAGGAAGACGAGGGGAGTGATGGGGAAACGGAGGGAAAGGGAGGGAAGGGAGATGAGAGCGAGGAAGACGAGGAGAAGCCGAAAAGCAGGAAAGGGAAGAAGGTGAAAGCGAGTGAGGAAGAGGGAGAGGAAGAGGAGAAGGGGTCAGAGAGTGAAGAGGAGGAGGAGAGTGTGAGCAAGAAGGGCGGAAAGAAGAAGGCATCGGCGAAGGCGAGTGAGGAGGATGAGGAGGGTGAGAAGAAGAGCGAGGAGGCGGAGGAGGAAAGGGATGAGGGGGATGTGAAGCCGAGCAAAAAAGTGAAAGGAGCAAAGAAGACGAGGAAGGAGGAGGGAGAGGATGCGGAAGAGGAGACAGGTGGTGGGAAGGGGGGGAAGGATGAGGAGGGGGGTGATGGGAAGGGGGAGAAAGAGATAGAGAGCACAGCTGATGCGGAGGTTGAAGAGGATACTGTGGCAGCTGAAGCAGGGAAGGCTGGAGTGAAGGGTGCGAAGGGGAAGAAGAAGAGTGCGAAGGAGGTGGGTGAGGAGGAGGAGGAAGGGGAAGGAGGAAAGAGTGAGGATGGTGGGAAGGAGAGTGGGGAGGAGGAGGAAGAGGAAGGAGGGGCTGCGAAGAAGAAAGTGAAGAAGAGTGGGAAGGAGGAGGAGGAAGCTGATGACGCTGGGGAGGGAGGGGAGGAGGAGGAAGGGGAGACCGGGGCAAAGAGGAAGGCGAAGAAGGGAAGCGAGGAGGGAGAGGAGGAAGGGTCGGAGGAAGGGGGAGAAGAGAGTGAGGAGGAGGAGGTGAAGGGCAGCAAGAAGAGTGGAAAGACGAGCAAGAAGGGGAAGGCGAAGAGCAAGAAGCTGAGGGGGGAGAGCGCGGATGGCGCTGAGCAGGATGGGGACGAGGAGGAGGGTGGCGCTGCAGAGAAAGTGGTTGAGAAATACGAGGTGAGCGTGCATGCTGTTGAGATTACTCTTTTAGACCTGAGCTTTCAGGCCGGCTGCTGTTTTGTGTGTCACCGTGTGCGTGGTGAGTCCCGCCGTGAACAGGCGCCTGAAGCTGAAGCTAGTTTTGAGGCACCTCAAAACTAGATTTCGTGTGTCACCGTGTGGTGAGTCCCACCGTGAACAAGCGCCTGAAGCTGAGACGGACCTCTTCCCCCTCCCAGCGCCATCACTCTGTTTTTTTCCTTCCCCCGCCCCTCCCTCTCTCCCGTTCCAGGCGTGTGACCCTGAGCTATCAGAGATAGTGCCGTGCCTGAGCCCGGCCATGAACAAGCGCATGAAGCTAAAGCTGAACACCAAGGGTTTTCCTCTCCCTGCTCTGTCACATTTTCACTCCCTTCGTGCTCCTGTTCTCCCTTCACTGCACGTCCCCCACCCCTTCTCCCAGGCGTGTGACCCTGAGCTGTCAGAGATACTGCCGTGTCTGAGCCCTGCATTGAACAAGCGCATGAAGCTGAAGTTGAAGCTCAACTGATGCACCAAGACCTCCTTCTCCTCACTCCTTCACTCTTTCACACTGTTTTTTGAGGCGCCTCAGAAGCTGAAGCTGAAGCTCAACTGATGCACCAAGGCCTCCTTCTCCTCACTCCTTCACTCTTTCACACTGTTCCTGTTCCTGCCATTTCTGCACATTCCCGCCCCCTCCCCGGCCCAGGCGTGTGACCCTGAGCTATCAGAGATAGTGCCGTGCTTGAGCCCGGCAATGAACAAGCGGATGAAGCTGAAGCTGAATACGAAGGTGATGGAGCACTACGAGCGCCACTGCCCCTCTGACGACCTCATGCCGCACTGCCTCGTGCCGCAGCCGCCAGGCTACAAGGTGAGAGGCAGGCACGGGTGCAGAAGGGCAGGGCTGGGGGGTAACAGGGGAGCAGGGTAGAGGGGTGTGTGGGCGGGAAGAGAAGGCATGAAGCTGAAGCTGAACACCAAAGTGATGGAGCACTACGAGCGCCACTGCCCCTTGGACGACCTCATCTCGCTGCCTCGTGCCCCAACCGCCAGGCTACTAGGTGAGAGACGGTGGGGGATTGGGGATGCAGGGCTTAACGTGGGAGACAGGGGCGATGCAGGGCTTAATTTCTTTCTTTCTTTCTTCTCCTCTCTCCCTCCTGCCAGACGTCCATCCCTTCGCCACGCACGCTGCTGGCCACAAAAACAATCAAAACTCCCTCCCCCCTTCTCCTCCGCTCTCCTCCTCTCCCCTTTCTCATCCTGTCTTCTTCCTCCTCTCTCCCTCCCCCCCAGACGTCCATCCCCTGGCCGCGCAGCAGGGACGAGGTGTGAATTTGCCCAACGCGCTGCAAGCAACTGAGATAGTCGACCCTCTCCCCCCTCCCCTTCCCCTCATCTCCTTCTCTCGCCCTCCTGCCAGACGTCCATCCCCTGGCCGCGCAGCAGGGACGAGGTGTGGCGGGCGAACGTGCCCCACACGCTGCTGGCCACAGAGAAGTCGGATCAGCACTGGATGGTGGTGGACGGCGATATTATTCGATTCCCGGGCGGCGGCACGCACTTCCCTGGGGGCGCAGACAAATACATTGAGCGCATTGGGAAGGTGAGAAAGACTGGGGAAGAGGGGGGGGGGGGGGGGGGGGGGGATGGGTGAAAGGGTGTAAGGGAGCACGTACTTTCCTGGGAGGGCAGACAAATACATTGAGCGCATTGGGCAGAAAAGGAAGGGGAGGGGGGGAGGCGACGGGCGGGACAAGGGGGACGGGACTGGATGGACAGAGGCAACACCAACATTTACGTACCACTTTCACTCCGTCCCTGCCTCTCCCACACGCCCTACCCTCTTGGTCAGATGATGGGAGACGAGAACGGCAACTTCTCGGTGGGCGGCAAGATCCGGACGGTTCTGGACATCGGGTGCGGGGTGGCGTCGTTCGGCGCGTACCTGCTGGAGCACTCAGTGCTGACCATGTCGGTGGCCCCCAACGACGTGCACGAGAATCAGATCCAATTCGCCTTGGAAAGAGGCTTACCTGCGTTCCTGGGGGTGATGGGCACTCAGCGCCTGCCGTTCCCGTCCCTGGCGTTCGACCTGGCCCACTGCTCCCGCTGCCGCATTGACTGGCTGCAGAGAGGTGGGTGGGAGGAGGGAGGGGTGGATGAATGGGGTGGATGAGTGGATGAGTGGGTGTGATTGAGAGAACTCTTGTCCCTTGCCCCTGCCTGCCCCTCGGACGGGGCCGCCGCTGCTGCTGGAGCTGGATCGGGTGATCCAGCCAGCCAACCAGGGGGCTACTGGCTGCAGCCTGTATGCCACATGCCTTGAGCCGTCACATAGCACCCCCTCGTTGCCCCCTCTTGCCTACACCTCCCCTGCTCGCCCCTCGGACGGGGCTGCCGCTGCTGCTGGAGCTGGATCGGGTGATCCAGTCAACCAGGGAGCTACTGGCTGCAGCCTGTATGCCACATATAATTTGTAACCATGCCTTGAGCCGTCACATAGCACCCCCTCGTTGCCCCCTCTTGCCTACACCTCCCCTGCCTGCCCTTCAGACAGGCTATTGCTGCTGGAGCTGGATCGGGTGATTCGGCCAGGCGGCTACTGGGTGCCGCCTGTGTGCCACATTTTACCATGCCTTGAGCCGGCACATAACACCTCCTCGTTGCCCCTCTAACCTACACCTCCCCTGCCTGCCCTTCAGACGGCCTATTGCTGCTGGAGCTGGATCGAGTAATCCGGCCCGGGGGCTACTGGGTGTGGTCCGCCCCGCCTGTGTATCGCGAGGACGAGGAGAATCAGAAGCTGTGGACGGACATGCTGGCGTTCATGGGGTGAGATGGGAGGGTGAGATGATTGGGTGAATGGGTGGGTTGAAATGTGGGGTTGTCATTCGGTTGATTCAGGAGAACCCTATGACCTGCATGTATGCGAACGAGGGGGAATGAGAGGTAGTGTGAGGAAGGAACGAGGGGGGTCAGAAGCTGTGTAAGGTGAAGGCGCAGAGCAGGCAGAACTAAAGATCCTGGCGCCCGTGCTCATGCTCCACCCCTTCCACCCCTCTCCACCCCTCTCCACCCCTCTCCACCCCTCTCCACCCCTCTCCACCCCTCTCCACCCCTCTCCATCCATCCTCACAGGCGCATGTGTTGGAAGGTGAAGGCGCAGAGCGGGCAGACAGCCATCTTCGAGAAGCCAAAGACGAATCTGTGCATCAAGAAGCGGGCGGCAGACACAGGGGTGACTTATGAGTCAGACTCAAATCTCATCCGTCCTCTCCACCCCTCTCCACCCCTCTCCACCCCTCTCCAGGCGCATGTGTTGGAAGGTGAAGGCGCAGAGCGGGCAGACCGCCATATTCAAGAAGCCAAAGACAAATCTGTGCATCAAGAAGCGGGCGGCAGACGTAGAGCCGCCCCTGTGCGATGCCACCCGGGTGTCGCCAAATTCGGCCTGGTACACGCCGATGGATGCATGCGTCAACACGGTGCCCAAAGGCAAGAAGAACAAGCTCATCCAGCCGTGGCCAGAACGCCTGGTGTCTCCGTCGCCCCGCATTGACTTGCTAGGGCTGGCAAAATCCGACTTTGAGGCCGACACAGTGAGTTGTCCCCGGATTCGGCCTGCTGCTGCTGCTGCTGCTGGTGACCCTTTTTTGTTCGAAGATTATAGTTTGCTTTCTGGTGGGTGGCATGGCGGGCGCTGCTGGTATAATTTCTTCTTCGAAGCACATCAGTAGCCATCATTCCTGCCCTCCCTCTGCCCCTACCCCATTGACAGGAAGCGTGGGAGAAGATAGTAGCAGACTACGACTCTCTGCTGGGCGGGCAGGCGCTCCTGCGTCCTCTAGACAAAGCAGCGTCCAAGAGCAAGGCTTCCAAGGCGGCCTTCCCCGTGCGCAACGTGATTGACATCAATGCTCACATGGGCGGGTTTGCAGCGGCGCTGGCGGCGCAGGGGCAGGAGGTGTGGGTGATGAACACAGTGCCCCCGCAGGGGGAAGCCAGTGGTGCTGGACTGGCAATGGTGTATGACCGAGGGCTCATCGGGGTGTTCCATGACTGGTGAGTGGAGCTGGTTATTGGGGTGATGGGCACACAAAGGGGATTATGCTGTGGTGCTGGCAGCGCAGGGGCAGGAGGTTTGGGTGATGAACACGGTGCCCCCACAGGGGGAAGCCAGCGGTGCTGGACTGGCATTGGTGTATGACCGCGGGCTCATTGGAGTTTACCACGACTGGTGAGTGGCTTGCAGGTTTAGGTGATGGGGTGGTGGGGACTTGAAGGGGACTATGCAGCGGTGTGGGTGATGAACACGGTGCCACCGCACGGAGAAGCCAAGAGTGCTGGGCTAGCCATGGTATGTTCCATGACTGGTGAGTGGCACTGTTGTTGGGGGTGATACTGGGGACCTTTGCACATGGGGGAATTGCAGAGGGCCTGGTTTGCTGCCCCTTGTTGCTTTCCTCTGCGTCATTTGATACTGACACTTGTTTGTATACTATGTCTCCTGCTTCAGGTGTGAGCCCTTCTCGACATATCCCCGGACTTATGACCTTGTCCATGCGTGGAGGGCGGTGTCTCAAGTCCTCAAGCGCAAATGCTCCTTGGAGGCCTTGCTACTTGAGCTCGACCGAATCCTCCGTCCCAAGGGTGTTCTGCTCTTCCGAGACAGTGCCGATGTTATTGCACGTCTGGAGAAGCGATTGAAGGCGGTGAAGTGGATTGTACTGAAGGGGCCTGTATCGAGGACGTTTATTGATGGCGAGGAGGAGCAGGTGCTCGTTGTGCAGAAGAGGTTTTGGCGGATGAAGGAGAAGGCTGGTTTGAAGGAAAGTGCGGAGGCAGCTGCATTGATAGATGGGGATGCTGAGGAGCGTCGGCGGTTGTGACATAATCATCAGAATTTAACCGGATTGATTCGTTGGTTTTAGAAAAGCCTTGGAATCTGAACCCCTTTGTAGAGATGCTAGGTACTTACAGTTTTTATTGTTTGTTTCCAATTGTAGTCTACTTGAACCCCATTCCTACACTCCCTCAGTTTTTACACGGATCTGTGTATTAGTGCGTCCCACTTTGACCGATTTTCGCTCATCGCTTTCCGTGGTGTCAGGTCTTCCTGGCCCACTGACACAGCGGCCGGGGTTGGACTGGTTTGGTTGGTTTGTCAGAGAATGTTACCAGACTGCTCCTCCAACTCAATGCCGGCGAAACTCGACGAGCTTGAGAAGGTCGAAGGGTGCCCACATCACGTCCACGAACCGAGCAGAAATTGAGGACCATCGAAATTTGCACGGTTCACGACGCACGAAAGAAGTTCCCGAGGAAGTGGTTGCGAAAAGTTTCAACTTCATCCGCAAATCCCGGTGTCGTGCGGGCTGTCTCGGGGACATCTCACTCCAGTTCACGCGCGCACCAATCAACGTTCTCGCTGGAGCCAAGAAGGTCCCGCACAGCTAAAGGATTCACAGTTCCATCTCATCGGAGCGCGCAGGACATGCGGCTCGGTTCACATCCCATCAGAAACAGACGTCAGACAGGCAGCGCAGAAAGGTTCATCTGCTTTCTCCTCGATCTCCACGCTGCACTTGATCTCTAGCCAGTGCTGTGCTGTTCCTTCAGTTGCTAGCATTTTATTATTAGAGCCGATGACGGTTTAGGGTTGTGACCTGTCTGTCGCAGGGTGAGCTATTAGGATTACGCATAATTACTGTTTGACTAGCGACCTTTAGTTAGCCGCGTAATAGATCGTCGTCGCAGGTTTTTCTAAACGCCCTGGACTGATTCGAAGGGAAGTCTATCTAGCGTCGACCCACACAGGTCCTGATTTCGATTACATAGACCATATTTCTATTGACGATACGAGTTCGTGAATCTCGATTCGACAATCATTCTTTACGTCGTTCCCGTCTGTCAGTTGACTCACCTACATGGATCCTCTTCCGCAAGACCATAGCTTTAATCCCAAGGTAGGCAGTCCCCTCAATTTTGTAGCCCTGTGTGAACGAGTTTCCTTCCAGCACTCAATTGTTAGCCGGATGGCATTATGAGACGGCTCATTTTAATAGTTTGCAGCTAGTGCTAGATGCCTCCACAAGTAGGATGTGTTGCCACTAACCTTTCCTTCGTTGCAGCATTTTTTTTTCGCCTGTTTCCATGCCCTGCTACCCTCAACAATCCCGCGCTTTTAGGTTTACATATTATTGATCGCAGTATCTTTACCATCTCCTCGAATTCATTCGTCCCGCCAGGCTCTAGGCTCGTGGGCTCGGCGCACGGGTTTGGTCAGCGGCTTCATGTCCCCGCGCCGGGACAGTGTCGTTGACGTCACCGATGGCACCAATACAGTCACACCCGCTCCAGGCGAACCCGCTTCGCCGTCCCGCGCTAGCAGCGCGGACGGCAGTAGTTTCCAAGCGAGCGGGTTTCATGGTCAGGGGGAAGGGCACTTAGCGCATGAGGGGTACGACGGGTACGATAGTCACGGGGGGCACGGCGGGAATGGGGGGCAAGTCTCCGCTCCCCAGCTTCCGCCACCGCCCGGACGATCCGCGTTCAAGAAAGCGCCTTCAATCCGCTACCCCGTCGCGCAGCGGGGCGAAGCGAGTAGTGACAGTATCGGGGCCGGCAGCATGTCACCTAAAACTCCCCAGGCGGTCGCTTCTGCGACTATACCGGAAGCGGAGAACGAGGGGGTTTCGTCCATTGAGGAAAGCGACGCGGGAATGGGAAGCGCGCGACGGTCGGAAGAGGTGTCGAGCCGACATGGGGGGAAGGTTGGCGGAGCGGTAGCAGCGGGTTGGGCAGGCGGGGCCTTTGTAGGCGCGGCGGTCGGCGGAAGGGTTGGCGGAAGCCAGGTGGCGCCGTATCCGGAAGGGGAGGAGGGGGAAGCGGAGGGGGAGTATGAGGGGGAATATCGGATGGCGGAGGGGGAGTATGGATACGCGGAGGGGGAGGATATGGGGGGAGATGACGATATGTATAAAGATGTGATTGTAGACGATATGCCTTTAGAGGAGGGGATGGAAGAACGGACGGGCGTGATGAATTTTGAGATGAGGGAGAGACCCGAGGTCGGGTGGATGGTGGCGTACGCGTTACAGCACATGATTGCGCTTATAGCGAACGTGATTGTGTTCCCGATGATACTTGTCCCCGCTATGGGAGGCTCCGACGTAAGTACATCAGTTATTGCACTGCTCCTGGTGCAGGCGAGAATCACACTTGGCAAGAGAATCAGCGTGCCACGTATTGCACTGCGCCCTTACCGTTTAAATTCTCCATCAGCCCTGCTCCCTGCTTTCTCTTCCTGATTGCAGCTCGACAAGGCGGCGGTGATTCAATCGGTGATGATGGTGACGGGCGTGGCGACCACGCTCCACGTGCTGCTGGGCACGCGTCTGCCCCTCGTGCAGGGGTCCTCTCTCGTGTACTTGGCACCGGCTATCATCGTCGCCAACTCGCCTCACAACCTCACCGCCGATCCCTCACAGCGGTTCTCGTTGACAATGCGGGAGACGATGGGGGCAGTGATCGTGGCGTCGCTGCTGCAAGTCGTTGCCGGCTATTCAGGCTTCATGTCACTTCTTATAGAGTAAGCACCCTCGGTTGCCCGCTACCCCATCCCCACCCCCTCGCCTCACAACCTCACCCGCTGCTTCTGATCGTGGCGTCGCTGCTGCAAATCGTTGCCGGCTGATCAACCCAGTGGTGGTAGCGCCAACCATAATGGCCGTCGGCCTCTCGTTCCTCTCCTTTGGCTTTCCTGTCATCGGCCGTACCCCGCATTCCCCTCTTATTCCTTGCTCCCCCATCCCCCATCCTCCACGGCAGGCTCATCAACCCAGTGGTGGTGGCACCAACCATCATGGCCGTGGGACTCTCCTTCCTCTCCTATGGCTTTCCAGTCATCGGCCGCTGTGTGGCCATCGGCGTGCCTGAGCTCATCCTAATTGTCATCTTCGCACTGGTATGTGGCAGTAGTTACATTTGAATATCATAGCAGCACTGTTTTCACCTGGTATGTGACAGCAGCAGCTTAGACCTCGGATGTGATAGCAGCAGCAGCAGCAGCAGCTTAGCCGCCCTGGTATCAGACACGGAAATATAGCTGGATATCTTAGCACCGACGTATTCTAAAGTTTTCCGCCATCTGCTAGTGACTCTCCACCTCTCTGCCTCCCTCTCCACCGCTCTGCACCCCTCTCAACAGTACCTGCGCCGAGTGTCATTCTGGGGCTCGAGGTTCTTCCAGATCCACGCGGTAAGCTCCTCCACCGCCCTGCCCTTTCCGCATTTAGCGGGCTTTCTCTCTATTCGCACTGTACATCCCAACTGTTTGTCTTCCTTCCAATATTTACTAACTGATGTTCTCTCGTTAGATCTCCCTGGGTATACCAGGTCTGATTCTCTTGCATGTGCAGCAACCTTCAGTGCTCCATATCCTGCTTAACATTCCCCCGTTCCTTTCCCATCACTCGCAGATCTCCCTGGGGTTGGCCATAACGTGGATGTACGCGCTAGTGCTCACCCTAGCAGGCGTCTACAGCTCCCCCGACTGCTCGCCTTTCAACGCGTTTATTCCTTTTCTCCCGCTTTTCCATCGTTCCTCCCCTCCCTACTCCCTTCCTCGCTACCAGATCTCCCTGGGTCTGGCCATAACATGGCTGTACGCGCTAGTGCTCACCCTAGCGGGCGTCTACAGCTACCCCGACTGCTCGCCTTTCAACGTGCTTTCCCCATTTCTCCCCCTCCCATCCCTCGCAGATCTCCCTAGGTCTGGCTATAACATGGCTCTATGCACTAGTTCTCACCCTAGCGGGCGTCTACAGCTACCCCGACTGCTCGCCTTTCAACGTGCTTTCCCCATTTCTCCCCCTCCAATCCCTCGCAGATCTCCCTAGGGTTGGCAATCACGTGGCTCTATGCCTTGGTGCTCACCCTAGCGGGCGTCTACAGCTACCCCGACTGCTCGCCCTCGGCCATCTACCCCTCCTCCTCCCCGTGCGCCCAGAAGCAAGCCATCATGGCCTCCTGCCGCACCGACGCCTCCAGTGTTCTGTCGGACGCCAAGTGGGTGGCGCCCCCGTACCCGTTTCAGTACGGCATGCCAATCTTTCGGTGGGAGTCAATCTGTGTGATGCTGCTGCCTGCCCTCATATCAACCATCGACTCGGTGAGAAGGGGGGAACCGATGCCTCTTATGCTGTGTGGTGAGGATGGGAAATGAAGCCTCCAGTGTTCTGGCGGACGCCAAGTGGGTGGCGCCCCCGTACCCGTTTCAGTACGGCATGCCGATATTTCGATGGGAGTCGATTTGCGTCATGCTGCTGCCTGCTCTTATTTCAACCATCGACTCGGTGAGTTGGGGACGGATGGGTGGGTGGGCGCATGCATGCATGTGGCTCCGTGGGACAGTAGCCAAAGGCCAAGTGGGTGGCGCCTCCGTACCCGTTTCAGTACTACATGCCCATCTTTCGATGGGAGTCCATCTGCGTCATGCTGCTGCCTGCTCTGATTTCAACCATCGACTCGGTGAGAAAGGGAACCAATGTATTTTGAGTCGACTCAAAACACACCTGTATTTTGTGTTGATTGGGAAAATAGCAACACATCTATCTCAATCAACCAACTCTATCTCCAACGAAATGGTTGCAACCCCCCCTATGTCTAACCGTCCCTACTCATCCCGGTCCTTCCCTCTGTCCCTCCCTTCGTTTTTTCCCTCCCTCCACTACCCCTCAGGTTAGCAACTACCACGCAACTTCCCTGCTGGTAGCTGTGCGGCCCCCGACAGGCGGGGTGGTGGGACGGGGGATAGGCATGGAGGGAATAGCGAGCGTGCTGGCAGGGATGTGGGGCACGGGGGGTGGCGCCACCACTCTCACTGAGAACATTCACCTCGTTGCGGTTACCAGAATGGGGTCGCGCGTTACGATCATTGTTGGGTCGGCGTTCCTCGTCTTCTTCTCGCTGTTCGGTAGGTGGGGTGTGGGGGAAGGAGGATTACGAGGGAAAGGGGGGGTGGTGGGACCGGGACTGAAGGGAAGGGGCTCGCGGGGTGTTAATGGGGAAAGGGAAGTGGGAGGTGGGGGAAGGTAAGGGGGAGAGATGCGGGTATTTTTGTAGTGCTTTTTAAATGGGGTGTGGGGGAGATCTGTGGGACGAGTGAGGGTGGCAGGCAGGGTGGGGGTGTGTTTTGTGCGACCACACCACTCTAGCCATGATTGGCAGACCCGCAACAAACTCACCATGCTGCTGACACATCCCTTCCCTCCCTACCCGTCCTCTTCTCTCCCTCATCCTTTCTCCTTTCCACCAGGCAAGGTGGGAGCTCTGTTCGCCTCCATGCCACCAGTCATGATCGGCGGGCTCCTCACCATAATGGCAGCCATGGCAGCATCGCTCGGACTCTCCTCGCTGCGCTACGCTGAGATGGGCTCCTCGCGCAACCTCCTCATCACGGGATTGGCACTCTTCTTGTCTCTGTCAGTCCCGGATTACTTCAAGACGTACACTGCATCCAACGGCCATGGCCCCATCAACACATCTAGCTCCGGGGTGAGTGGGTGTTCCGAGCACATAGTGCTGTAGCCGCTGTAGTCTTGGGCTGCGATGGGCTCCTCCCGCAACCTCCTCATCACTGGATTGGCGCTCTTCCTCTCCCTCTCCGTCCCTGATTACTTTAAGACGTATACGGCTTCGAATGGCCATGGCCCCATCAACACTTCTAGCTCGGGGGTGAGTGGGTGTTGGGTGCTGGTGGTTGAGTGCATGCACGTGGAAGGTGTGGCTTCTGTGGCCACTGCAGCCGCTGTAGGTGCTGTAGCCTTGGGCTGAGATTTGCTCCTCCTGCAACCTCCTCATCACCGGCCTCGCGCTCTTCCTCTCTTCTATTCTCCCCTCCCCTCTCTGCTGCTTGCAGCTCAACTTTGTGCTCAACTCACTCCTCGCCCTCCCCATGGAAATCACCTTCAAGGTTGCTTTCTCCCTTGACACCACTGTGCCCGGCATGGCACGGCATGGCATAACGCAACATGAGGCCCCTGCGTGGTTCCCGTCTAATTCCCTCTTCCTCTCCTCCCGTCCCCTCCCTGCTGTTCCCCACCCCTTCTTCCCTTGCCACCCCATGGCAGCTCACCTTTGTGCTCAACTCACTCCTCGCCCTTCCAATGGCCATCGCCTTCATGGTTGCTTTCTTTCTAAACAACACTCTGTCCCCAGCACTACACGGCACGGCACAACACGAGGCCTTTTTATGGCTGGTCAAATTTTAATCCCCTCCTTCCCTTCCCATCTCCCGGCAGCTCAACTTTGTGCTCAACTCGCTGCTCGCCCTCCCCATGGCCATCGCCTTCATGGTTGCTTTCTTCCTCGACAACACTGTGCCTGGCACGGCCACCGAACGAGGCCTCTACGTCTGGTCCGGACGTAAGGCGGCTCGGGCCGACCCTCTCATGCATGAGGACTATGACCTGCCGTTCGGCTTGAGCAGATTCTTCTCCTGGGTCTTCTGGCTGGGCGTGTGAGAGCGGTGGGAGTAAAATGAGATTTCACCTCGAGAAGATTCTGTCGTCTGGTCACTGCTGCAGCTTGGGCCGACCCTCTCATGCATGAGGATTATGAATTGCCGTTTCGCTTCTGCAGATTTTTCTCGTGGGTCTTCTGGCTCGGCGTGTAGCTGCTGCCTGCAGCCTGGAAAATTCATGCCATTTACCTAGGTCAGGTTGTATGTCCTGTTCTCTCCATGGGTTGTTTGTAAATTATGTGCTCCTTACCAGCTTGCTGCAGTGTAGGTGTAGCAACTAATTTATGTGTAAGGTTCTTCTTGACTTCCTCTGGGATTGGATTAGTTGTTGAATACGGTGTATTGAACAAGCAGGTTTTATCGAATCCTTTAAACATTTTCCATACCGGAGCAGCAGGCATTCTGGTATGCTATCATTATTACAAAACAGAAATATCAAGCATCACTGCAAGTCCTTCCGCAGCCACAGGTCTGATGCAGCATTGCACGCACCATCCCATCTGCATTTATACCGTACTTCAGTGCATCATGCACTAGTGCCGACTGCCAGAGCCTTTATCTCGACCAACACGCGCGTGTCTGCTGCTGCCGAGATCGCGGAGTCACTTGCTCCTGAGTTGGCAAGGACAGAGCTGATACGATGGGGAAATAGGGGGGTTGGTGTGGGGAGAGGGGAAGAACGTTGGTGGATGGATGGGGGAGGGAGACCTCAGGTGAGTTCGTGGTAACCACAGCAGCTTGGCTTACCCGATAGGGACAGTCACAGACGCCTGCAGCACAAGGCGGTACTGTGAGAGGCGGCTGGTGAGCCGCCCGCTCACTACAGGCACAGATTCCTGAGGTGCCGTTACAGTCACATTCGCCTGGTCCAGGTTAGAGCCTAGGAAGCTTCCTGTGAGGGCGCCTGCGCGCAGCACCACCTGGTTGGGTGTGAGCGTGAAGGTGCCATCTGGGGAAGGCTGGAACTGACCCCCTGTGGGAGGGAGTGAAATGGGGCATGTGCAGAGAAAGAGGTAAAGGAGGAGGGGGAATGTAAAAATTGGGTGAGATAATGTTTGTGCACTCTATTGACCAAGCGATATGTTATACGTTTTTTTTCTCTTACCTGAGATTTCCACTACTGGCTGGGAGACCTTGATTGTAGCGAGGGGAACGCCCATTGCGGCTGAAAGGACGGCTGTGATTTCATCTGGGCGCGAGCCCGCGGTGGCTGCCTGCCACGTCACCACACGCGTGGCTGACGAATTTTCTGCCGAATCACGCAGATTGATCTGACCAATCAAGTTGACGGAGCTGGGAGTGATCTCTGCCGTGATGCCACTTGGCAGGCCCTGGAGGGTGACGTGGCACACGGACTCTGCTGGGACGAAGTTGAGGATGACGACGGCTGCGGCGTGGGAGGCGAGAAGCGCGAATGCGGTTACTGCCAGCATGATCGCGCTAGCGGAGTTCCTCTGGATATCCATGAGCAGGAGATGACGGACAGACAGAATCTGGGTCGTGTATGTTTCTGTTGAAGTCCTTTTTAGGGAAAACAAATTCCGCTGCGAGGAAAATGAGGAAACCGCTGGTTTGAAGTCTGAGTTCGCATGAAGCTTTGAAACTATCGAGAAGGCTATTTGTAGGTGAGTCGATCTTGCAGTTGCTGTTCTCCAACCCAACATATTTCAAATTCCCTCAACCATCTCAAGATTGATTTGCGTCGGAAATGTCAGCTTGAGGGTGACGGGCGAAGCGCGCGAGTCAACATTACGAGTCGCACATTTCTCTCCAGCCTGCCACACAAGTCAAATGAGAGTACAGAGCGTGATTGACCGTGACGACGTGGCGACATCAGGTAGCCAATTGTTCCATGTTGCGTTATTACACCTAGACCATTGACTTATACAAGATTGTGTGAAGTTGTTGTGCTATCAAAATTGCTTCCAACCAGCCCTAGAATCGAGGTGGTCATTTGCGCATCCCCAAAACATACAGCGAAACCCCCCCATTCCATCCGTTCATCCCCAAGACACCACTATCAACAACTGGCTCTTCTGTTTCCCCTTCCATCTTTCTCGCTGGTGGCGAGTCGAGTCGGGAGTATTTTATCAAGCTCAGATTACGTAGAACTCAGCGGGATCGGGGAGTTATTCCGAAGGGACGAGTTTCATTGAATCCTCTGTAGTTTCACCACTAAGTCCATGGCTATGCCACGGTTTTCAACGCACTTGATCCTTTCGTGCTGCCAGCTATCACACGACGGAAGCTGGTAAGCCATTTTCTATCTCCAATGTATCCTCACCCTCTTTCTCTTTCATTCTGAAAAGCGTTTGCTTTCACGATCTGAGTTATGAAACTCGTTCAGGTTGATCGTTATGTGCTCGCGGCTATGATGACTTATGTTTCTGGACCTCCGATTTCACCGTGGGGAATGTACAACAATACCTTAGCTGTGGTTCTGAGCCGCTCATTGCAACCTTGAAAACTTACGTATGTCCGCTCCGTCCAACCGTTCGCTTCTGCTCCTTGGTCCCTCAGTACTCGACTTTCACCATTCCGCACTTGCACTTCAATTGCGCCGCGTCTCGCGTTCCTGTTTGATCTCCTCATGCGGTCAATGTCCTTAGCATTCAAGTCCCAAATGATGAATTTAAGTAGATGTGGTAATTTGCGTCCGATGGCCTTCGGCCGACTGAGGACTCAACCTTGGAGAACTGATGGGACTGATTATTCTTGTCCATCCTCAATGTATGTTGATCTCGGGAATGTATATTTGATGTTTTTAGTGTTGGAAACAGTCTCTTCCAACCAAAGATCTTATCTTTCATGTTTTTGTTCCTGTTTGGTCTGGCCAGAAACTTTCTCTGATAGGAGCCCACACGGGAGAAGTAGCCAACAAGACGGCGCTGACGGACGTTAAGCCCACTGACATGCGGGGCTGAAAGACGTCTCTCTCCAGTCGGTTCTATCCTTCTGACATGGCGTATCGTCTGACAAGGTGCTTTCTGCCCTTCATCTCGAGATGCTGTTGACATCTGTTCTGGAGGCTTCATGCCGGGTGTTTAAACCATGATTCTAGTTGCGACAATTGCTAGTGCGTCGTTCGAACGGTTCGCTTCCCATGCGACGGCGTGCGATCCCTTCACGGGGTTCGCATTGCCTGTCCGGGGTTGCGATTTCCGCTGTCGCAACGTACTCGTTCCCAGTCGCACATATCGCCCAGCCTCCCGTGACTTACCCGTCCGCTGTGATCAGCGGAGGGGAGTCCACAGGGTTCTTGACCGTCCCTGTAGGGGAGGTTCATTATTGTTACCTCATAGGACGTTCATACCCACATCTTGACGTTTCCTCTCCAGCATTTTGTCATGCACCATGCAAAAGTGGCTTTCGGCGGACGTTTCTCAGCGTGCATTTGTTGGGTTCTCCTTCCGGACATCCCCCCGTCCGATTCTCCGGGCTCCTTGCAGGCTTTACAACTGTGGTAATGTTCAGCTTCGAAGGATCCTTCGCTTCAAGTCAACCCCGTGGCATAAGATGCGGGTGAATCCAAGGGAACCAGGACGCTGAAATGTTGTTGCGTGCCATTGCTGAGTCGCGGAGAAACGAGAAATAAGTCACACGATGAAATCTTCGCCACTGGCCTCAATGTCACGATGCCACGCAAGGTACGCTTCGTTCGTGCAGCTCTCTTCGGTGCCTTGCCTGCTTGGGTCTTCACCGTGATGGCGCATGATGCCTGAAACGTTTGGGTGTTGGTTTTGTGCGTGATGATGGATGCACGGAGAGCAATGACGATCAGTGCTTAAGAGGCCAATTCTGGCCTGTGACGAATCAAATTCTTTAAACCTCCTACTCGAACTGAGCTCTCCGTAACTGATTCACGCCCGTAACAGATTTTCGTCTTTCTCCTGATTGCGTCTTTTACTCTTGGTGATTGTTCAATTTTCGTCTTTTACTCGTGGTGATTGTTCAAGATATATTTGCTCCTATCGTATCGTATCCCCTTGTACAGATACCTCAGCGTTTTAATCACACCTAATCGCAATATGGGGAGCAGAGCAGTCCGTTAGTGTATCATCATTACCCTCTAATGGTTTTGACCTTCTATTACGGCCAGTCGTCAATTTTGGGAGCAATGGCTTTTTTTGTAAGGATTTCGACACTAGCAATTGGCATGAAGATTTTGTGTAACTGTGTTGTCAAATATTGAATCGAAATACCGTATTTCCTTGCAGAAGCAGCATTACAGAAGCAGTTACCTACAAGTGCTGTTGCCTGTACAACTATTATCAAACCCTACTACCTGTGACATTCAGGTGTTCAACCTGTGGGGGCAGCTCCTGGAGCAGCACCAGGGGAACGGCCAGGTGCAGCCCCAGGAGCCCCGCCCGGAGCAGCACCGGGTGCAGCCCCAGGAGCCCTGCCGGGAGCAGCACCGGGTGCAGCCCCAGGAGCCCCGCCGGGAGCAGCACCGGGTGCAGCCCCAGGAGCACGGCCAGGAGCAGCCCCAGGAGGAGGGGGAGGGTTCTTACCCCCAGCAGCAGGTGTAGGCGCAGGGGCTGGGGTGGGAGCAGGGGTGGGGGCAGGTGCAGGGGCAGGCACAGGTGCGCAACCTGGGGGAGTAGGTGCAGCAGTGGGGACACCAGCCAGAGGGGGAGGGTCCATGCCCGGAGCAGAGGGGGCAGGGTAGGGGCGGAGGGCACTGGGCGGCTGCTGCCCAATCCCCTGCAGGTTAAGGTTCACACGCATAACTGCCGCTGCTCCAGGCGGGGTGGGCCCGGGGGGTGTGGTACCCCCAAGAGCTTCGATCACGGAGCGGAGCGGCACGTCAAAAGATCCGCCAGAAAGGAGCTCGAAGATTTTCCCGCGGCGGATGAATTTCCCGTTGAGAGTGGGCGCATTAGCCTCGGGAATGTCAACGACAACGTTCTGCTCGTCCACGTTGTTGCGCAGGAGGGAGCCGGAGACGCGGGAGAAGAGCAGCTTGGTGTTGTTAGGCTGGAAGGAGTAGTCGCTCGTGGTGTTGTCGATGGGGAAGCGCCCGCCCCAGATCTGCACCTGTGGGTTGTCGAAGGTTAGGTTTGCGAACTCGTTCGGGCCTGCGGGTGGCGCGATGAACGCCGTCCACGTGGCAGGGTCTGATGAGAAGTTGGAAGAGAGCCATTCGGCCTGCACAAGACAAAGGAGCCCCACAAGTGGTGTTAGAAATCTACTTGTTACAGAAAAACAAGAGAATAATCATGCTTGGTTTCTCAATCCCGTTTGAAAAGAGAAACGGTCCATACCATAGTTCTGGGCGTTCTCACTTACAAAGATGGGCGTGAACTGCGGCCGGATGACCCTGAGCACGTTGATAACAACAGGCCCCACAAGCTTGAACTGCCCCGGAGTGCTCTCCTTTCTCAGTCCAGGCGGCCCCTCCAGCGACCACGTCGATATGGAGTTGTCAGGAATCGTGTTGAGGTCCACCAATCCGCGCATCACGCGTGGCGGTTTCTGCGCACAAGCCGGTGCTGCAAACGTGGAAAGAAGCAGGACTGCCGAGAGGGAGGCTAGGACTGCTTGGAGAAGCAAATAGCGGGAACCCATGGTGGAAAATCAAGGAGCCAAACGAGGACCAGAGGGCCGGTAGCGGGATGAAAATGGAAAGAGCACAGGGAACTAGGCACGCTGACGGAGTGAGGCGCAGAAACCGGGCGAAGCTGGCTGGCTGGGCTGTTGGGTGAGAGTTGCCAGGGTTCTTGATATGGTGATGGCGGGGTGGGGCAAAATTTTGGTAGCAAAGCTGGGTGAATGGGGGAACGAAATGCGGCTCGGTAAATGCGTCTCGTGCGATAGGGTGTGCTTTCGCGACAGCTGTTTGAATGACTATGATTGGCTCGGGTTTGTCGCGAAACGAGTTACCGTCTGATCCAGCCGGACTTCGGATGAATCGTGGAGACTCGAGCGCACTTGGCGGCCGAACCCGTACCAGCTGGACTGGAGACTCGTGGCGAATACCCGTGATGGATGTTCGACTTGCCCACGAGAAGGCCTTGTGGAGCTTTGATGTTGGCAGTTCAGATTCGCTGTACCCGATCTTCTTCCTACTTATGAACACCATAGATGAATATTGATACTCTCCATAACAATGGCTGTCATGCTTAAAAACAGTCAACATATAGATAATTTTCACTGTAAATAAGGTGCGTGAAATAATTTCTTTTCCCTAATACCTTTTTAGATAATTTCACAGCAAAAGCAACTCCACGTCGTCACCTTTTACTAGTTATCACCAAGCCATCAATTGTCAGAATCAAATATAAATCAAATTTTCTTCTTGCATAAACTTATATTTGTTTTTTTTTTTTTTTTTTTTTCCTCTGTGCATGGACTGACTTCCTGTGATGGCGTACTCGAACTGGTAATGTAGGGTTGATCGTGGCAACACAATGCCTCCTAACAGGACCAGGAACAAGGTAGGATAGTCTGAGCACTTGGCCTCTCTGCTCCACCCAGAGCACACCATAATACCGTATGGCCCGTGTATGAATTTATCGTTCTGTTCACAACAGTTTCCTTGCATTAGTGAATTTCTCAAATTTCAATGGTAGCGGTACATGTCTAGGACATAACCTCCCTTCATGACGCCAGCTACACCACCACACATAGTCCTATTTCTCAGAAGCTGGGGTAGGAGCTGGAGCAGGGGCAGGAACAGGAGCGGGGCCAGGAGCAGGAGCAGGAGCAGCAGAAGGGACACCAGCCAGAGGGGGAGGCTCCCTCCCCGGACCAGCAGGTGCGGGACGCCCTCCAATGGTTCGGGGAGGCTGATGACCAATGGCTTGCAGGCTGAGGTTGACTTTCATGACCACCTCGTCAGGGAAATTTGGGCCAGGAGGAGGTGGGCCTGGTTCCACGCCAAGAGCATCAACCAATGCACTGGGAAGGCCAGAGTGGCAGGGAAAGAGTTGGTTATGGGAGTGGGAAGAGAAGAAAGCAGGGGAAACAGGGAAAGCATGGAGCAGGAGAAGTGGGGGGGAGGGGGGGAGGTAGGGCGCTGATCCCATGTGGTTGTGTTGGTTCTACTTGCGGAAAGCCCCAGCGGCCTTGAAAGAGAGGAGGATGCGTGCAAAGGAGGCATTGATGCCGGGGCCAGGAGGAGGAGATCCACGAGGAGGAGGAGCAATGGCTGCGAACATAACACTGCAAGGGGCGGTGGGTTGGGAAAGGTCGTGTTGCGTGGTGATGGAACACAGGGTTTTGGGGGGATGGGTGGGGGGGTAGGGGGGAAAGAGCAAATGTGCAGGCATACATTAGATTTGCGGCCGTTTGGGTTGGGGATTGTAAAATAAAAACAAACATATAAGATCTGATAGTTCCTGTAGCTCACCGGAGTGGAATGTCAAGCTCGCCACCAGAAATAAGCTCAAAGACAGGACCCTGTAATATAACAGCAGCAGAACAAAGTTCAGCCCATCATATCTACCACTACTCATGGAACTGATAAACAAACAAGGAAGACGAAGAAGTCGGGGGGAAAGAGGGAACATTAAGCATAGACAGCATACCCTTCGGATGAATTTCCCATTCAGTGTCGGGATGTTTCCTGCAGGGAGCGTGATCACCACATTTTGTTTGTTCACATCGGATCGCAGCAGGGTGCCGGACACGCGGGAGAAGACCAGCCTCGTGTTGTTGGGCTTGAAGGAATAGTCGCTCGTGGTGTTGTCGATGTCAAACCGCCCACCCCAGATCTGTACGACGGGGTTCTGGAAGGTAAGGTTGGCGAACTCGTTGGCGCCTGAAGGTGGACCTATGGAAGCTGTCCACGTGGCAGGGTCCGACGTCAGATTGGAAGACAACCACTCAGCCTGCATAAGTAACAAAAAATGCAAGAAAACAAATAAGATAATACATAAGGAGTTAATAAAACAACATCACAAGAGAAACTTTAGCTCGAGAAGTTTCACTTTCAAATTTAATGGACAACACTCACTTGGATGGGAGTGAACTGCGGGCGGATGACCTTAAGCACGTTGATAACGACAGGCCCCACCAGCTTGAACTGCCCTGGAGTGCTCTCCTTGCGCAGCGCTGGCGGGCCCTGCAGCGACCACGACGACACGGAATTCTCGGGAATGGTCTTCAGATCCACTATGCCGCGCTGCTGAGGCTGCGCTGCAGCGAGTGAGGCGAGGGTCGCGAGGACGGAGAGAGAGACGAGGATGCGGAGGAAAGGGTGGGAGGCGTGGAGTGCCATGGGTGCAAGTAGTGTTACAGGGTGGATGAGGATGCAACGGAGGAGAGGAAGACGGGGTCAGGCAGGTGACGGAGAGCTGGTAGTCGGAGCAGGAGGCGGCAAACCCGGCTGCTTCTGCGCTGAAAGAGAAGTTGAACACTCCAGAGGCAGGCAGATGCTGCTGAAACTCGTCCAAGAGTGCGCTTAAAAGCGAACAAGTAAGGACGATTTCGTTTCTCGTGCGAGGATCGGCGGCGAGAGAGCGGCGCCATCGCGTTGTTCGCGAAGTGCTCGTCGAAATGGCCCACGTCGCATGCCATTGTGGGTCGAGGTAATGCGGGTGAAATGAACGGATCTATGAGGCACATGCAGCGTAATTTCCGGGTTAGTTATCGTTGCCAGTTTTACTTGTCCAGCGCGGATATTTCCTTAGACCTCGTTAAGAGCCACCCGAATTGAAACAGCTGGTAATTCAACCATTATGAACCTTGCCGTTTAGATCACTACCATGCACCCAGCCTGTCCATTCTATGATGTGAAGCGACACGACGGAATGCTGATATTTCGGCCGCTGCTGCTGCAAAACGAGATGTCTGTTTTAATGCATCGACATGGATGCTGGACGGTGAGCCTCCCGGAAAATGGGTGCTGTGCGTGCTTCTCGCTGTCTGTGATGGATTTGACGGAATTCTTGGGAATTCCTAATGTTGGACGAAACTTGCTCTAGGGGGCTGATGGTCTGGGATGCACAGAATGACATATTTGCATGTTTGCCCGAATATTCAGATTCTTGTGAAATGGAAACTGAAATGGTGTACACGAAGTGATATGGTGCAAAAGGGAATGCACAATCGTTTGGTATCACTGGAAATGTTATCAGAACAAATTATCCAGGGTAATAGCACGTGGAACTAGGTGTCCGTGTATTGCGCTACTACAGCCTTTTCGAGGTTCGTCGTCGACGATGGCGGCCTGAGCTGTAGTTTCCGAACCAGGTCGCGAAGCGCCTGATGGACTGTCCTTCCGAATCGCGAAGCAGCTTCTTTCCACGTAAGCTCAGAGATAAGAATAGCATCTGTGGAATATTAACGTCGCAAACGTTGGACCCGGTCGTATCTCGAATGTCGTGGAATGTTGTTGTTTACTACCCGCTTTCTCGGCTGAGGCTTCCCCTGCGCTATTCCCCGCAAGTGACTCTAAAGCTTTTATCTCCGCTGTCGTCCTTCTCTCTCTCCAACTATTTCTGCTTCTTGCGGAGAGTCATCCATGGCAATGGCTGGTGCTACTAGAAACTCCCGTTCCTCCACCAGGGGTTTCACTCCCGCTCGCCTACCTCTTTCTCTCTCCCTCTCACTCTCCCTCCTCCTCGCACTCTTTCTCTCTCTCTTTGGCGGGACGTCAGCACAGACGGGAGCAGTGCCTCTCACCATCATCCCACAGAACTCCGTGTCTACGTGGTCCATTCAGAAGCTGCCAGGTGTCACAGCGAACACGTCACCGCTTTCATTCCAAGAGACGGGGCCCGTGCTGCTCAACATCTCGCAGGCCGATAGCAAGACGTTCCAGCCCACCGAGGCAAGTCAAGTTATATTATATGCAAGGCGTAAGCACATGTGATGCTGTTACTCTCAACCTCCGCCTGTATTCATGGCATTCCAAATTCCTAGATGATGTTTAGTTGTTTGTTGGGGGATGTTTCTCGACTGCCATTTTAATTTGCGCAGGTGGTTTGGATGTCGTCCAACATCAGCACTGATCCTTCCACGTGGACTGCTGAGCTGTCGTCAGCAGTGAGCCGAGCCAGCATCGCCAATCTGACCATGCAGAACCCCCAGATGTGGATCTACGGTGGGGATCAATCCTCCAGGCTGATGTCTTGCTCTCTTATTCACCGCCTCGTTGCCTCTTATCTTAGGTTCCCGTTTTGCTTGCATGAGGTCTCAATTTGAGGATGTTGTTTCTTGTTGATGTTCCCACAGGGGGCAAGTTTGATGTGAAGAACCTCAACTACTCCTTCAAGCCGGACAACGCAGTGCTCCTGGTGCAGAGCCTCACTGGCACGCTGCTGGGCACCAACGTGAACAGCCAGAACCTGCAAGTGCCCATTGAATCTGACAACATCCCCACCCTCAATGGCCAGCTCATTGCGCGGGTAAAAATGCCTTCTGATTTGTTCTAATGCATGCTTTTCAGTATGTTGTCTTTTATGTACGTCTTCATTGGTGTACATGATCAAGAGACAGACTGGTCTGGGTGTTGGTTCAGATCAGATTCCCGTCTTGTCTTTATTTCCGGTTGTTGTGTTTCAGGGCCCGCAATATGAGCTGCTGTCGAATGGCGTCTTCGAAGTCCCTCTCAGGTATGCAACTTTCATCCTATAATACGCATACATATAATCACGGATGCCTGCAATGCTCTCAGGTATGGTGTGCATTTCTCCAAGAAAGTAGATGCATACTGGGACATTTACATGAATGCCTGTATTTCCCATGTTACACCAGGCTAAATTCCTTTTTTTGTTTTGCCATTGCACATTGACCATCCAACATTAGTCACCCAACATTCTTCAACCCTCCACCGTGCCGCTCTCATTCACAGCGGTCTCATCACGGCAGCGGGCGGTGGGGAGCAAGCAGGGGGACTTGTGGGCGACAGCTTCCTGCAACTCAACATGACCATCCAGGCCATTGGCCCTCCTGGCCGTGGGCCTCGCCCTCCCTTCCGTGCCCCCCCTCGCGCACCACGTGGACTCAGATAAAAAGTGGCTTGAAAAGTTGCACCTTCCAAGCCCTCCTCCTCACGTGCTAATGGGACTAGGAACAGGTCTTGCTCAGGTAGGGGACAAGGCGGGTTTTGCTCAGACATGGTCTGCCTTTTACGTAGGAGGAAGCTGTGTTGATGATAATGTGGAAGTACTGCAATATATTTTGAAGTGAGTGGCAGGACTCTACCATAGTCACAGACAGAAGGATCACAATTGGGCAAAAACGTGTTGGTAAAAGATACATAAACTGTACATCTGTTATAGCCTTCTCATCTCCAACTCGCTGAAAGTTAAAATATCCACAGGCTCCTTTGACCCAGAATGCCTCCTATGTTCTAAAACCCCATCTGTGTCCGCTGCAATAACAACACTTCTACTATCACCTACATCCCCTTCCAAAGCCTCATCTACACCAGAAGAATCACTACACCCCTTATTGGAGATATCAGCATCAACAGCAGCATCACCATCCGTAGCATCAGCATGAGCAGCTGTTGAAGTCACACCCTCACCATCCTCAGCACCAGCACCAGCTGCCTTTTTTCTCTTGGCCCGCTTGTCGTACCGGTACTTGAGTACAGTAAGGGTTACCATGAAAACGATTTCAATTATAAGGGGGATGGCCACGGGCCAGAGCTTGTACGCCACGCCGTAAATGCTGATTCCGATCAGACCCAGCAGGTAGCATGCTTGCCTGGCGGACGAGAAAATGGGAGAAGTGAAGGGGGGGAGTGAGTGTGAGGGGCCATGGAAGGTACAAGGAGAGAAGAATAGGAAGAGAGGCAAGTGCGAATTGCGAAGAAGAGGGGGCTGGAGGAAGAAAGGGCGAAAACAGGGAGAGGAAAGGGGAGTGGAGAAGGGGAGAGGGGGATAGCGGGATGAATACTGGGAAGGCAGGGATTTGAGGGGGACGGGGTGACGGGAGGGTGGCAGTCTGTGCGTGGTCCCAGAGGTGAGGCGAAACGAGGGGGCAAGGAGGAGAGACTCTGACAGCATCAAGCGCAAATTCTGCTAATCGGAAGATTCATGTCAGAGTAACCATTATAAACGCCCGCAAACGATCGGTTAGGGAAATGGTGAAATAACGAGGGATTTGTGCCAATTCTGACCAGAAATAGCTGAGGTCTTTGGCGGACTTGGTACGGTACGTCTTGACCAACTGCGGCAGGATTGACACGCAGAAGATGATACCGCCGATGAAACCGCACGCGGAGTACGGATTCGCAAACGACGCTTCTAACGAAGCCTCCTCTGTCGCGACCATTGCAGGTAGTGACAACTACGAGAGTGCTGTGGTAGGTAGTGGGAACAGGGTTGTGTGCTGCTGAGTTGAGAGGGGGAACGGGGAACGGGGAAGGGATTGGAGGAATGTTTGGGTCGCTGGGCGCATTTGGAAATGCTTCGTTATGGGCGCTTTCAGCGAGCGCAGACAAGGATTTATGGGGCTGAACACAGCAGCACCGATTAATATATTGGAATGAAAGTACATGTTAATCGCTAGTGATTATTGTGTTTGGTGTTCTCCCTTTTTGTGTCTCAGGCTACTTATCCGCTAACGTGAGAACCTAATGTGTCAATGATGAATCTCCTGCAAGGAAATTGCGCCTCTTCCCCCAACCGCAACGAAATTTGCGCCCCTTCCCGAATTCGGAGGCGGAAATTCGCGCCTCTCTGCATTTGTCACTTCCACAGCCCCGCACCATCCCAACCATTGGAGACCCAACCCAATCCCCTCAGGCCCACCATTCTTTCCGCCGTGTTCAGTCATGCTTCATGCACATTGCTTTCCGTTCATTCTTTCTATTCTACGTAGCTTCGCCTTGCCGCGCACCCCATGTCCCACTGTTCCGCGCCCTCGCGTCGCGTCGACTCACCTTGTCACCCAACGGGCTCGCTCCGCCCCTTGTCTTTCCCCGCGGGCCGCGGGTCGAGAGTCGAAATGGCCCGTCCATCGTCCATCGCGCCCGACGGACCGCCGCAAGGAAACGCGAACCTGGGTTCCGCCGCGTCCCAGTCACACCCCAACTCCGCGCGTTCACGCCCACCGCCTTCCGCGGCCGTGCTTATCTCCTTGCGCCTCCTGCGCTTTTCCCCCAGCGTCTCTCCCCTTGCTCAGGCCGAGCCGAGGCCCCTCTCATCGCGGGTTTTCTCAACCGCATGCGGCGCTCACACGTCGTTTCCGTTTCCCCTGTGCGGATCCTCAACCCGTAGGCGCGCGTCTCTCCGTTCCCCTTTTGCGGATTCGCATTTTGCAGGACGCGTCTCACGTCTCATCCAGTACCCCCTCCCTCGCCTCTCTCTCCTCTTAGCGCCAGGCTGTCTACCCGACAGGGCTGCTCCGCCACGTGCTATTCCGCACCTGCCCGTTGCGGAACCGCTACGGGTGCTCCTCTCACCGCGATACACCGCTCCCTTTTCCATCGTCACCCTTCTCCCTCGCGACCTTCGATTTGACTCTACACTTGTCTTGAGAAGTCGCCCGCCGCAAGGCCTGCGATTGCCAAAACGTTTGACCGTGAGAGCCGAGATTCCCAAGGGATCCGACAGTCGTACCGTTAGACTGATGAAGCGGACGGCTTCCGTCGCGGATTCGTTCATTTTCCGTCACTGGTGGTGATTCAATCACCCGAAGTTTGGAGCGATTTGCTGACGAGTAACTCGTGCTGCGCCGAGTCTCCTGGCAGAGTTTGAGAGGCCGAATGCGTGCGCCTGCCGTGGCTGGATGCAGCCGATGCAGCAGAACCCACCACGGGCTTTTTAAGACGTAGTTATTCCAGTTGCTGTGCGTCCTATTCTTGCCATTACACCCGCGTCTCCTGGTTTTCGAATTCGTACCTTCAACAGACGTAACCCACGAATCCTTTCTCGTGTTACTCGTGCCTCTATTTCGCTCATTCGCCTCCTCGTCGTCACTCGTCTCCTAGAAGTCACCTAGATCAGTTCAGCAACCGTTGGTTTCCTCAAAGCCGCAGTTCCTGCTTCATTTCTTGGGTGAAATCAGAGAGGCTTTACAGTGCAGTGGCTTCTGAGTTGAAACACCGTGTTGGAACAATTGAGTTGAAACCCCGTGTTGAAACTCAAAGTGAAACTCCGAGTTGAAACGCCTGACGCGTCTGCCGGTGAATGGTCACCGTCACACCTTGCATTGGCGCGCTTTGCCCTCAGGTTGGCCCCAACGCTGCTGCCAACGGACCTGCTTATAACGAGGCAGCTGTTAACGAGTCCGGAGAGCCTGCCGCTGAGCATGGCACTGACGATTTGCGCGCGTGCGAGCATAAGCGTGCACAAACGCGGGCGGATGGGGGGGATGAGCGCATGCAAGCGCATCAGCTTGTGGCGAGTACAAAGTGTACCTGTGGGCATGAGCTTGTGCGTGGCTGTAAGGTTGCTGCAGGGACGCAGAGTGTTGAAGGGGAGGGCGCACAGGGGGAGGGCGCAAAGGGGGGGAGCTGCGGTGGCTGTGGTGTGCAGGCAGATGTGTTGGCGGAGCTACTGGGGGGAGGCCTGGGGAAACTGAGCGCAGGGGAAGTGGGGGAGGCGGGGATGAAGAGAGAGCGGGAGATTGCTGGGAGGGGTGGAGAAGGGGACGGGAAGGGGGAAAGCGAGAAGGGGAGGGGCATGGGGAATGCGGTCAGTCTGGCTTGTGGGATTGGGGGAGGGGGTATTGTTCCAGGGGTTGGGGGCAAGGGTAATGTGGTTGGGAAGGATGAGGAGAGGCTAGGTGAGGATGGGAGAGGGGGAGGGATTTTCGCTGCTGTAGCAGCACCACTAGTTGCAGCAGCAGCAGCAGCTGTAGCAGTGAAACCAGCAGCGGCAGCAACAGCTGTGTCAGCAACAACAGCAGGAGCTGGGGCAGCAGCAGGTGCAGCAGCAGCAGGGTCAGAACCTATGGTGACAGCAGGAGTGGGAGAGGAAAGCATTGAAGGACTGTGGCATGGGTGGGACGGCGAGGGGCAGGGGAGCGGAGAAGGGAAGAGGAGCGAAGAAGGGAAGGGAGGGGGAGAGAAGAAAGGGGGCGCAAAGGGGAAGGGTGGCAGAGAAGGGAATGGAGGTGCAGAGGGGATGGGGGGCGGAGTGCACGAGAGGGTGGATAGTCCGAGGGGGGATGTGAAGAGGAGGGAGGTGCGGTGGAAGGGTAGGGGTGTGGGCGTGGGGGGGACGAGTTCTGCGAGTAGGGTGAGGGGCGGCGAGGCGAGTGAGGGGAGGAGTGTGGGCGTGAACTTGTATGAAAGGGCAACCGCAGCTGACTTTGTCAACAGGAAGCAGATCGGCTCTGGACGGTCAGTATGGGGGATCGGGGGAGCGGGGGGAGGGAGGAAGAAAGGGAGAGGGAGGGAGGGAGGGAGGAAATGGTGGGAGGGAGGAAATGGTGGAAGGGAGGACATGGGGAGAGGGAAAGAATGGGGGGAGGGAGATTAAGGCTCACTTCAACTCCCCTTGGAATTGGTCTTTAATTGTCTGGTCCGTACTACCCTTCTCACTCTCTTTCCTCCCAGTAATGCAGTGGTGTATGCAGCCTCGTGGTGCACTATAACGGGTCACAAAGGAGCCTGTAAAGGTGTACTTCCTATGTGTAGCGCTATGGTGTCTTGACTTGTTACTATTCTCAATCATTCTCCCTGTCCCTTCCCAGGAATGCAGTCGTGTATGCGGCCTCGTGCGCTATAACGGGTCGCAAGGTGGCTGTTAAGGCGTACGTCAAGTCAGCTCTAAGTGCCCTGGACCGGCACAGGATCAACCGAGAGGTGGCACTGCTAATGACTCTTAAGTAAGAGCTGCTAATGCTGCGGGTAGGTAAGTGAGGAAAGCTATGTGTTTTCTAATTATTTCTTCCTATTTAACTCCAATACACTCACTCACTGCGTGTTGTCTTCTGATCATCGCTCTTGACTGTAGGTTTCAGTAAACCCCACCTACTGTCCGCCCAGCTCCCCCACCAACCTCCATATCCCGCTTCCCCATCCTCCCTCCCTCTCCCATGCAGCCACTAGCACGTACTCCAGAGTCCGGGTCACTTCGAAAGACGGCCTCTGCGTAGGCAGTGTGTAGGAGTGGGTGGGCTGTCTGAGAGCGACCACTTGTTGTAACAAGACCCTCCAACTAGTGGGCCGTCTCAATTCCCCATCCCTACTCGATTCATCCTATCCCTGCTTGCATTGCATGCAGTCACGAGCTTACAATTCAGGGGCTGGGTTGCTTCGAGGATGCGCTGTGTGTGTACACACTACTATGGGCGGGGCGTCTCAATGCACAGCCCATAGTAGTGGATTGAGGGTTCTCACAGCCCACCTACGACATCACTTCTCCCCACGTTTTGATCCAGTGCCCTATACCACTGCCCACGCCCCCGCATTCCTCTCCGTACAGTCACGAGCACATAATCCAGTGGCTGGGTCACTTTGAGGACCCTCAATGCATGTACATCGTGCAGGAGTGGGCGTGGAAGGGGGGACCTGTGGCACCCCCTCGCTCCAACTCCACCCACTCAAACCCCTCCCGCACGTCGCTCTACTGCTGCCCACTCCCCCCCATTCCCTCCCGTTCCTCCAGCCACGAGCACATCATTCAGTGGCTGGGTCACTTCGAGGACGCCCAGTGCGTGTACATAGTGCAGGAGTGGGCGTCAGGGGGCGACCTGTTTGAAGAGCTGAGGGCGAGTGGGGGGCACATGGGAGAGGCGCGCACAGCCAAGCACATCCTGCTGCCGCTGATCGCAGCACTGCACCACATGCACACCAGAGGAGTGGTGCACCGAGACTTGAAACCGGAGAACTTGCTGTTGACATTCCATGGCACTCTCAAGGTGAGAAGGTGAAGGGGCAGGGGTGGGATTATGCTGCACGAATGGCGAGGGACCCGGATGAGAACCCTCCAGTACATGGCGCCTAAGGTGGTTTGGTGCATATGGCACAACCATTCCACTCGCTCCTCCCGTTTCCCCTCTCTCCCTCCCTCCCTCCTCGCATTCACAAGTGCGTGATTTTGGACTTGGTATCAATATGAAGGAAGTGCGCCCTGCCAGCCGCCTGGGCGCGCTGCAGTACATGGGGACTGAGGTGGTTTGGGGCGCATGGGATGGGGTTCCTGACTTCCCACGTTTTCCCCGTCACAGGTGCGTGACTTCGACCTTGCAATCAATATGAGGGAAGTGCGCCCTGCCAGCCGCCTGGGCGCGCTGCAGTACATGGCGCCTGAGGTGGTTTGGTGCGCATGGCACAAGGGGGGATATCAGCCTTTCCCCCTTCTTCCCCTTCACACCCCCCCCTCTGCCATTCCCGCAACCTCCTTCTTATGCAGGTGTGTGACTTCGGCCTTGCCATCAACATGAAGGAAGAACGCCCTGCCAGCCGCCTGGGAAACCTACAGTACATGGCGCCCGAGGTGGTGCGCATGGGCCTGGTCATGCCACTCCCTCCAGCTCTCCTCCCTTCCGCCACTCTCCTTGCTGTTCACAGGTGTGTGACTTCGGTCTTGCCATCAACATGAAAGAAGAGCGCCCTGCCAGCCGCCTGGGCACCCTTCAGTACATGGCGCCTGAGGTGGTGCAGATGGCACGAGGGCAGCGCGGGCGAGGGGGGCAGGGCGGGAGGGGCAAGGGGGAGGAGAAGAGAGGCGGGGCGGAGATACCAAAGGGGACGGCAGCAGCAGGGCAGGGGCAGGTGGTGGGTGGTGCGGGTGCTGTCAGTGGTATGGAGGGAAAAAATGGCACTTCTCCGATGCTTGAGGGGGCGTATGATGAGAAGGTGGACATATGGTGAGTGCTGCTGAGAGAGGAACAGGTGGTAGGTGGTGCTGGTGGTGCTGGCGCTAGTGCTGGTAGGGAAGGTAAGAGTGGCGCCTTTTCAGTGCTTGAGGGGGCGTATGATGAGAAGGTGGACATATGGTGAGTGCTGCTGAGAGAGGAACTGGTGGTAGGTGGTGCTGGTGGTGCTGGCGCTAGTGCTGGTAGGGAAGGTAAGAGTGGCGCCTCTTCAGTGCTTGAGGGGGCGTATGATGAGAAGGTGGACATATGGTGAGTGCTGCTGAGAGAGGAACAGGTGGTAGGTGGTGCTGGTGGTGCTGGCGCTAGTGCTGGTAGGGAAGGTAAGAGTGGCGCCTCTTCAGTGCTTGAGGGGGCGTATGATGAGAAGGTGGACATCTGGTGAGTTCAGCTTAGAGTTCATGTTTGACTCGGTGCTTCCATGCCCTCTGTGGATCGTGCATGCAGATGTTTTGATTTTGACCAAAACTTGTGTACCACGTGCTTACCACGTGTTTACCACGTTCTGACCACGTGTTCCTCCTGCCCCGGTGTGCTGGTGATGGGCCATGCTTATGAATTACGTGCTTATCATGTGCTTACCACGTGCTGACCACGTGTTCCTTCTTCCCCCATTGCTGGTCAGGGCATGTGGAGTGCTAGTATACGAGCTGGTGATGGGCCATCCACCCTTTGAGGGCACATCAGACATGCACACAGCAACTAACATCATGCACTGCGAGCTCGTTCCCGATGCTCTGCCCCATGGGATGTCACCTGCATGCAAGGATTTTATCTGCAAGGTGGGTGGGATTGCTTGCGTTGGGAGGGTCTATCTCTTCCTTTTGCCTCTTATTTGGGGGGTCATCAGACATGCACACGGCAACCAACATCATGCACAGGGAGCTCATTCCTGATGCACTGCCGCATGCCATGTCCCCTGCTTGCAAGGACTTCATCTGCCGAGTGAGTAATGTGGCAGGCGTTGGGCTTCTATCCTTGCTCTCCCACCTAGCATCCTTCACATGCACGCATACACACATGCACACAGCCATCAACATCATACACAGGAAGCTCCTGCCTGATGCGCTGTCCCATGCCACGGCATGCAGCCAGTTCTTTCCTAACTTCTCTCCCTTGCGCCCCCAGGTGCTTTGCAAGAACCCCTCCAATCGCCCCTCGTTGCTACAAATGCTCGACCACCCCTTTGTGTCAGGGCACTGCCGGGGTCGGCCGCTTTATAAGGAGGTCAGGCAGGCGATTCTAGAGGAGGGGTGGCGGCAAGAGAGGGAGAGGGAGATGGGGGAGGAGCGGAGGAGAAGGGTGGAGGCGCAGCGGGAGGAGGAGAGGAGGAGGGAGTGGTGGGAGGAGCAGCGGAGGGTGATGGTGCTGAGGAAGAAAGAAGGGGAGGGGGGGAAGATGGGCAGTAAGTCATTCCGGAGGGAGAAGGAAGATGGGTTTGGTGAGGGTATGGGGGAGGTTGAGACAGTAACCAGTCCTGTGTGCATCAATCCTCCACCCATCAGTCCTCCATCCATCACTCCTTCCCCGATCAGCCCATCGGCACATCTCGGCATCTTCCCCCCCACTCGTTTTCCTCCCTCCTCTCCCCTGCCTCCACCTCCCCTTTTAGCCTCCATCTCTTCTCCCTATGCCTCTACACCCACGTCCTCGTTATTGTCACCTGCATCAGGATCACCACCAGCATCACCCCCTCGCACTCTGACGACCTCCCTGCCTAGCCCTACCATGTCCAATCAGCCAATGCCATCAATCGAGCAATCAAAAAGCACTCCTGAGGGTTCTCCCCGGTCAATCCCTGTGTCGACTCCCATAGTCACATCTCTCACAGGAACAGACCAGCCAGTGAATCTCCTGCCCGGTGCCCTAGGGATAGCACAGAAGGCATGGATATTTGCAGCTGGGGTAGGTGCGGGAGGACCCCCTAGGGGAGGAGCAGCTTCAGGAGAAAATTCAGGGGCTGTGGGAGAAGCAGATGTAACTGGTGTGCGCAAACCATTCTCTTGGCTGCATCCCTTCCAGGGCTGGACCTTGCCAGTGGGTAAGCAGGCATGATCGTCGGAGTTCAGTTCTGGTGGTTTTTAGATGGCTCATTTCTTCTTGTAGGTATTACATCTCAAAGCTTCACTGTGTAGATGAGACTTACTAACGATTATACACGTTTGTGCATAACATTTGCTCAAAACTTAGAGCATCAACCAGACCACACGACAAGGAATAACATGGCGGCAAAAACCTTCTTTGGCTCCGAAAAGTTGGACCATGCCTAGCAGGTCCAACGAGATATTTGCTTCAAGCCTAAAATATACCCCTGCCACGTTAGCTTCATTCACCAGGCCTCAATCCAGCCACAGCTTAGCGATAAGAGGGAAATATTGAAGGTACAGGTTGCAGCTCCCAGGCAGCTGAGCTGACAGAATCTTCACATTAACCAGATTCTCTGGGTTATTTCCGGAGCTATCCACAGTGTGGAATCGACAGTCGCTGCTCCAAGGCGCCATCGAAAAAGAATGGATTGGCGGAACGGATCTGCTTTGATAGATCCTTATCCTGCCATGATCCTCCTGGGCTTGAACAGTTGCTGCGGCGGTAGGGAAGGTGTCTTCAGGCACCAGGAGTTGGTGCTGTTGCTCGGGTACCGGAACGGAAAGTTGTTGCCTTCAAATAGATCAAGCAAGGCCAGCGTCTGCAAAAGAAGGAAAGTAAACAAACCAAGCAACCAGTTAGCGTCACAACAAGAATGAGAAAAGCACGAGACGACCACGCGAAAAGCATAAATCTCGTCAAGCAGCATCCGACGTGGCATACCTCGGGAACGGACAGCATGAGCCTGAACTTCGGGCCGTCGTAGTGATGCAGCACTGGTCGAAACTCGTCCTCCTCCAACGCTCTGCACGCCTTGCGAATCCGGATCCGAACCTGCGCGGGGAACCGCGACTCGCCTTTCACCTTCTTGTCCTCCCACGCGGTCGGATCGATGTTCGAGCCTCCGAAGCTCGCGGCTTCGAAAACCCCGTGTAGTTGATGCGTCGTGTAGTTGTACAGGAATAAGGGTAACCCGGGTTGGATGGACCGTACCGAGTCGCGGTATCTCTGTGGTAGGCCGAACAATTGGCGTTTCAGATCTTCCTGCATTGTGTCGTTGTTGCATACGAAGATGTACCCTCCTAAGATCTCGTGCCTTGGGAGAGACTCTGAGGGATGTAGTATTTTCTGCTTCTTTTCTGGAGATGACTGCGTGCCTGGTGACTGGTTCCCTTGTGACTGCCTCGCTGGCGACTGCATGATGCCTGGAGACTTCAGAACAGCTAGCGAAAACACTCCGGTTCCTGTCATCTCAATATCCCAGAAACAGCTATACCTTAAACTGATCGTATGGAAGTAAACGGAAAACTGAGCTGGGTGAGAACGCCTAGTAGATATGAAAGACTACGCGAGGAGGGGTCGTAAGGCTGAAGCGAAGTGCAAGACTTGGTGGGAACGGATCTGGCTATTTGAGCTGGAAACCGAGAGATCGGCTGGAAAGGGCAGACTGGATCTGGCTCCGACGGAAGCGTTGGCGGGGCAAGCTTTGGTCTGGCGGTCTGGAGAAATGATGGTTGGGAATGGGGGTGCGGCAGAGTTTATGCAGTGAAGCGAAGAAACAGATCGAGTGACGAAAAGTTCCCGAGGATACCGGAATTTATCTCCAAAGCGCGCCCGGGCGTGCGGGCTGAGGGGCAGACTGCGAAGCTGGAAACGCAACTTTGACACGCAAACTGTCCAACCAAAAACTTCGTCAAGGTTCCCGTGCAACTGGAGTCATGAATGGAGGTCCGTGAACATTCATTGATAGGGTGCTTACCCCCACTTGTCTCGGTTTGCAAGGAAATTATGCACTCCGACCTATATCAACGGTTCCACGCATTTTTCAGGGAACACTGTCCTTCAATGATGTACAGAGAGGAGTTTCCAGGCGATATTGGATTCCAGATTCCACAAAAACTACTAGATCTGCATCGTACCCTGAAGAAACACACACCCTTGTCCCGCGATTTGGTCCCACCGACAGCGAAAGCGCGGTGCAACTTCGAACACCACCACCAACCCCGTCCCATCCAGCTGCTCGAATGTTCGTTCGGTCCGGTCAGAGAAATTTGGGTACAGTAAAAGAGGAGATGAAGGGGGCCACCTTGATGAGGTCACCTTGGAGACCTCGGGCGGGCCGAGTGGGTCCGCCGCACCAGTTTGCCTCCCGAATTTCTAGCAAGGTCCATTTCGGTCAGGTTTGGTGGAATTGCGGGTGCGTCCTTCAGAAACTTTGCTTCGTCATTCTGGTCCGGCCTGGCTCTCTGAATCCGTAGATCCCGCGAGGCAAGGAGGATGCAAGCCTGGGGTCCAGCCAAAATCCGTTCAAGCCACCGTTTGCTGCCACGCACGATGTTCACTCTGCCACGCATACCCTGCAGGTTTGGGTGCGACGTCACCACCACCTTCGCATGTTTGCGTGACGATTAAGTGTACTTTTTAGGAATGGACCCGTTTTATGAAGCAAATACTGACCTGGCAGGTGGGAGTGCGAAATTGCTATCTGGAGTAACTTCTTGAGCTCAAGAAGCTAGTAAAAACGAGTCTATAATACGTTGCGTCCTTAAATAAAGTAGATACATCTTACTTGATATGATATACTATTTGCACATCTTTAGCTGGTTAATATGAAATGTTTGAATGTTCTTACGGTATCAGGTCCTAAAATATTACTGTAGGTGCAAACCTTTCATCCACTTTGCCCCAGTCTAGGTCCTTCACCTGGTATCCGATTGGGCCTCTCTCCAATAAATAGCTGTTACACGCACAGTATATAACTCCAGTATGGTCTTCACCAAACGCCGTCATTCTACAATCAAGATAGTGCACAGCCAGCTGGCTCCTTCATGCATGCTCAAAGTCGCTGTAAGCCCCCAGTGTCTAGAGGAACTAGAGCTTCTCATTGAGTAATAAATGGTATGTACACGCAAAATGTGCCGTTTTTCCTAAGAGAAGCAACGAGCGAGCTGCTTCATAAGAACTGAAGACGCCTAGAAGGCCTCCAAACTTGCGTTCGTTTAATTATTAGTATGCTGCGAGTAGCAGTGGTCATTGGACCAGGCCCAGAAAACGTTCCTCATCCAGCCATTAGGCGGCTGCAGCCATGGTACGGAGTGGAGAGAGGAGGGCTCTTGCGACACCAGCTGTTGAAGTGGCTGAAGTATTGATACGGGAAGTTGCTCTCCTCGAATAAATCCAGTAGCGCAAGTGTCTGCAAACGAAAAACACAGACGATAAATTAATAGTCCGACGTCGGTTGCTTTCTTATAATCGCAAACTGATATGGAACGGCGCTCACCTCAGGAACGGAGAGCATCAGTCTGAACTTGGGCCCGTCGTAGTGGAAGAGGAAGGGCCGAAACTCCTCCTCGTCAAGAGCTCGACAGAACTTGCGAATCTTGATGCGAACTTGGGCAGGAAACCGGGACTCGCCTTTCACCTTCTTGTCTTCCCAGGCAGTCGGGTCAATGTTTGTGCCGCCGAAGCTCGCGGCCTAGCATGAAGCAAAACGAAGTTCGTCAGGCCGACAAATCAACGGAAATAGGCGATGGATAAACGGATTATATGAATGTGTTTTCACCTCGAAAACTCCATGAAGCTGGTGCGTAGTGTAGTTGTACAGAAAGAGGGGAAGGCCTGGTTGAATTGCTCGCACGGAGTCGCGGTATCGCTGGGGAAGCCCGAAGAGTTGTCTCTCTAAGTCTTCGTGCATCGTCTCGTTGTTGCAAACAAAAATGTAACCTCCTAGAATTTCATGTCTGGGTAGTGTCTCTGCTGGAGGAAGGGTCTTAAAGCGTTTGTCGGGTGACTGGGGAGACCCTTGAAGCGAGGACGAATATCCTCCAGTTCCTATCATTCTTACTTATGGCCGTGCAACAAAACTCGAAACCCTAAAACGAAAAAATATTAGTTCCTAGGAATAGAACGATCGAGGTGCTACTGGAGTGGTGTTACTGGAGTCAGGGATAGCAGCTGCGTTGAAGCAATGTGGAAATAGCGAGGCAAGGTCGACCGGAGGATGCGGGAGAGGTGTGGAGGGTTGTAAAGCCAAGCAGCAAAATGCAGAGCACCGAACAGGCGTTGTGAGGAGAAATCGGGAAAGTTGGGAGCGAGTAGAAGCGCCAGGAGAGGTGGACGACAGATGTTGTGGCCTTCCACTGAGGTGAGGGGGCATTTGACGATGTGTACGTGGGGCGAGATGACCGCGTCTCGACCGACATGAGCCTGGAAGGCGGAATCGCTGAACTTGTTTCGGGAATTGGGATACAGTGCACCAGTCTCCAGCTGGATGTCACGTCGATGCCAGCTGAAGCAGCCAAACGAGCAGGTCATGCCAGCGCAACGACGACCAAATGAAACGCGTCTGGTGTCAGCCGACTGTACAGAACCAGTTCAGTTGGTTTCAGGAGTACAGCAGAACTCAGGTCGGCACATGGCAGAGCGCGTTTCATGGTGGACAAGTGAATCCTGCCTACCAAACCAAGACCGAATCAACCAGCTCTTGTGGCATGAACTGTGATCGGACCTAGTCTGACGTGTTTAGCAAGGCTGAAAATAATGAACTGACACGGTCCACGAGATTTGCGACCAGCTGTACGACTGACACGAGTTTCTTCAAGAGGCATTTGAAATTCTGGTTTCCGAATGTCATCGC